CGATGATGCCCGCGCCAGCGATCGGTGCCTGGGCCCCATCCCCGGCCTGGAGCAGTGCATGCCCGCCAGGGGGGTTGAGATCGCCAGGGGCGCAGTCTTCATGGCCGACATTCAGATGCCAAGTTTCCTTCCGCGCGGGTTGGACGCGCTTGGGCGGGCGCGGGGCGATCAGGGGGCAGGGGCGGGCGCCTTTGCAGGGGGGGTAGGGAGGCAACCGGTGGCCAGGAGGCGGACACCAAGGAGCGGGACGGGGGGGGTGGCATCATGCGTTCGCAATCACGTGCGCATCAGGCCCCATCGGCATGCTCTTTTTGTCCTTTCGAGTGTGGTATGGCCGGAATTGTTATACAGATGGGGAGGGTGTGCGAGCGACCCCCAAGGTGGCTGGCTGCGAGCGGGCACTCCCCGTTACAATCTACCAGGAAACTGAAGCGGCAGTGATGTGGCTGTCCTGATTTTTAGACCAAGGGTTAGGTTTTAGGTTTCAGGTTTGGTGAAGTTTTAGTTTTTTTTGGGGGGGTTGGGTTTATTTTTTCGCTTTCACTGTTTTCTAGGGCTGTTTAGGATTGTTTTTCAGGGGTGTCCTTAAAGCTGACCCTAAAACCAAAATACCAAACCGGACGGCCAACGTCACTTCTCAAGGGTGTTACAAAAGGCGGGGGGAGGGCGCGAACACTGTCCAAATGTTTCCCGTCCACAGATTTGTCATGAATTGCTGGGCGCCCCGATACAGCGGGGTTTGCTGGGCGTCGACTTGTCAAATTGAGAAAACAAGCCTCTTTGCTCACGCGGGCTGGAGGGCACAATGGCGGGTAATGTTGAACAGGTTGAATTTTTGACACCCTGCGTCAAGATGTTGGCAAGGTGACCAGGAAAAGCTGGGGCCACCGCCTGTCCATTGTGCGTGAAATTCCATGGACCGTGCTTGCAAAAAAGCCACGGCAAGCAAGGCGCTTGCGCCTCTCAAGGGATGATGGGCGGAGAAAGATGACGTCAGTGTTTGTTCAACGTGCTGAGTGTCACCACACCCGGCCATTGAACTTGTGAAGCGTGGCAGGCATTCTGCGGATGCCACATTTAGTAGGGAGTGCGCATTGCCTCGAACGTAGCGCTGCTTGGGTCTGCACTGGTGTCCATACCTACCTTTTGCTGCCTATCACGTTGCATGGCCAATGTAGCTAGCCAAGGAGCGAGAAGCAAAGATCGAAGTTCGTGGCGCATGGATCAAACAAACACCAATGGGGAGAACAGTTCACGTGTGCTCATGCAGCCAGCTGCTGAGTTGCGATCACAGAAAGCGAGAGCATTGAGCATATGGGTTAGATGAGTCATTGCCAGTCCTTGACAACAGCAGATCGATCCTCAAGCGAGCATGGATGAAGCGATTTGAACAACCATCAAGTACAAAGCTACAGTGGACAGTGGGTGTGACGTCCTTTTGCTTGCCATCAGCACACAGACAAGGCTTGGCATGCAGCAGTTCCCAAACGATCTTCCCTGCATAAAGGGCAATATGACAGCATCTTCGGGCAGCACTGCCTCTGACCACAACAAAAATACAGCACGTTCTGGGACCATACTGCCCATCACTGTGGGATCCAAGTCCCACAGTCAGCTGCTTGGCCACCAACCATGTCATGGTGCTGCTTGAGTTGTGGAGAAATGTGAGATCGTACACAGTACAGCAAGTTCTGTGCTGTCAGACAACAGGTAGCCACAGATGTCAACCAACATTTGCATGGCTGAACCACTCACAGCTGTTCAGCCCCACAAAAGCAAGAGGGCGCAATACAATCCACATCTAGCCAGGCGCTTTGCATCACAACCATCCAAGGAAAGCAACTGCCACATGGCCAACACCAGCCATGCATATGCATGAGATTACATGACGCTGCAAGCGGTCACACTACCTTCTATGTGAAATCAGAGTGCTGGGACACCATGATGGCATTTCATATTGCAACACTTTCCCACACTTGTTCTCTGCTGCATCGCTGAGCCAAACTGAGGCATGCCTTTGTGAAATTGATACCAGCTTGGTGTGGTATCAGATTATGCGCATCAATTGAGAGGCGTGTCCAAGAACTTCTGCAGTGCTTTGCACGCCCGCTCTTCAACACCCTGAAGCTTCCAGGTGTGATCATACTGCAGCCACACAAAGCAGTGGGTCACAAACAAGGTACAACTAAAGCCAGTGGCCCAACAGTGCTGGCAGTGCAGCTTCTGGAAGAGATCAACACAATGCATACCCCTCCATCACGATCGGTTCATTTCTACAAGGCATTATTCAGATGACAAGGACTGCTCAGCAAACGTTGGGCTGAAATCCTCTTACCACTTCAAGGTTCTCTCTTTCAGCATCAAACGCCTTTTGGGCATCGAATCCAGGATTCATTGCACTCATGGGATTCATCTGCCTTCGCATCAGTTCGGTGTCATCAATGGTCTCCTCACGGAAGAAGAGTGAAAACACCCCGCGCAGCCCAAATAGGAGGAGAATGTAATATGACAGGCTTGTGAAATACGACACATCCAATGAAGACATGTCGATTCCCCTCTGCATTCACACAGATCACAGCAGCTCTGATCACAGGTCTGAGGGCAGTTTCCCTATCAACCGATGCGTGCAGCCACAACAATACGGGATTCTAAGGCTCCCAATGAGTCAATGGCCTTGTCACTGGAATAGCTCCCTCCATGTAACAATGCACAGATTTTCCCAGGCATGTTTCCCACTCAAAACAGCAGATGACCACCAGAACAGGTCAGAGGCATGGTGCATCCGATCTACAATTGGGTTGGGAACACATCAAAGGGTTGTTGAGTTGCAGGTGTCTGCAGACACCTTTGGAAACTGGACAGGCAAAGAGAGAAATCAAGTTCAAGGGCATGCTGCCCAACCTGTCTTCTCAGAAGGAAGAAGGGGTGCTCCGCTCACCTGCAACATCGGCCTGAAGCGCGGACTGAGAGAGAAGGGAACTTTGCCAAGAACAAACCCAGCAAAGAAGTAGTTTACCCATGCGCCCATCACGATCTACAAACACACACACACACACACACACACACACAGCTCTTTAAGATTGAGCAGAAGTTGATTATGATACGCTTGCAACAGCTAAAGCAGAGAGGATCTTCACAACAAACTGGCAAGAGTACTCGCCTGTGGTATGAGGCCAGTCAGATTCTTCTTGAGCATGTCCACCATCATGGACGGATCTGTGGCCATTGCCTCTTGCATGGACTTCGACTCAGCTTTTTGATGGAAGACCCCTGTGTCCTGTGCGAGAAGCACCAAAAGCAGGTCAGTGGATGAGAAGTCAAGGTGTCACCACATAGCCAGGCTGATCAAGGGTAGTCATGGGATTAGCAAGAAGCACAATACTGTTATGAGGCAGCCATGCACCATTTCGGCAAGGGGGATCGCATCTTTCAACCTAGTTTGTTGGCATACGTGGACAACACCACAAAACTTGCTAAAAGGCGTGCCACACTGCCCAAAACATCCTCGTCGCTCGAAAGGGCAAGAATGTGTTGCAACCAGAGGTGTGTAAAGACTTGCAGCAGCTCTCACCTTCGCAATGAAGTACGCCCTTCGCATCCTGAACGCCTGAGGCGGTATCCATCCGGCCTGTTCCCTCAGCTTGTGCGCACGGCTCACGGCCTGAGCCTCGCCTATCTCCTTCGCACTGGTTTTGGGTGGCGCCTCGCTTGACATCAGCTGCAGGAAATCCAAGACGGCCTTCTTACCATAACAACAGGGAGACTGCTGGGTACTAGGGGACTGACTTTCGGCCATAGAAGAAAATGTTCACATAAAGAACGCCGATCCTGAGGGCGCCAAGCGTCCGGCGCACTGCGCCACGCTGCAACAGACGATACAGAGAACTCTGAAAGAAGCAGAAGAAGCGCGAAGCACTGCCCAGCAAGGCGCATGTCCCCAGGAGGTGCTGAATCCTCTGTTCAGATTTGCCTTCCAAAGACACAGAAGGGCCCTTGCACCTCAAGAGGCGCACTTTTGCAGGAACCCCCCCGTCGAGATCGTCGCCGTACCCGGTAGATCCGCAGTGCAGACAGCGCAAGGGCCGGCGCCGTGACTGGGTGGCACGCGCGCTGACTGAACCCACCCGGAGGCCCTTTTCCGCGCCCTTGCCGAGACCACCGGGCTGTCCCAGCTCACCTGATGCGCATACTGCCGCAACAGCATCATCAGCATGATGGACATGGTGAGGGGGATGAGCACCCACACCAGGACCTGCCGGTCCAGCACGAGGTCATGATAACCCATGCTGCGCGTCCCAGCGAGCCCCAAGTCGGCAAAGCGGGTGCCGGCACGACAACAGGCGCTGCTTCCCCAAGCCCTCCAAGCGCGCCCTATTTTAAAAATGGAGAATATCGGTGACGTAATTATGGTTAGCATCGGTTTACGTTTACCATTAACGGGGCACATCCTCCATACGGTCTACAATGTATACTACTGAAAAGCACGGCAACAATGGCACATACGGTATACCATATATGCGGTGCATACCGCATTGACATTTGGTACACAACACACCAGGTATCGGAATCAGTATCGCTGTCGGAATAGGTCCAGGTATAGGTATAGGAGGCATAGCCATGGGTATAGGCATGGGTAAAGGCACATTGATGGGTGTTGGTTTTGGCATCGCTACAGGTACAGTTATAGGGATTTCCATACTCCATCGGTGCTTGGTATACCGTATATACGGAGCTACGGACAGTATGTACTGCTCCTGCAGTGCCTTTGGGCACTCTGTTCCCACCCCCGTTCCGCTCCAACCGCGAGCGCTGGCCCCCCCAAGCCCCCCCCGGCCGCCCAAGCGGCCCCCCCCGCCCCCGCGATGGGCGTCATCCCCCAGCCCGCCGTCCTGGAGCCCCTTCCGGGTGTCCTGCGCCTGCCGCGGGACTTCAGCGTGGGCTGCTCCGGCGACGGGGCCCTCCATGCGGGCCGCGCCTTGGCCGACGCCATGCGATCGCGCCACCGATCCAATTGCACGGTCGAGGCCGCATCATCGCCCAGCATGCGGGATCCGAAATCTGGGATCCAGGAGTTTCCGGTGGCTCTGAGGATGGAGAATTGCGTGCCGTCGATCAGCGGGTTTGAGAACAAGGAGGAGGGGTACGAGCTGACGGTGACGGAGGGGGAGGGCGTGGTGGTGCGCGCCCTGGGGCCCAGCGGCGTGTTCTACGGCGTGCAGACGCTGCTGCAGCTGTTCCCGGTGGGGGGCGGTGCGGAGGACGTGATGGAGGCGGAGTTCGAGCTCGAGGGCGTAAAGGTAGGTGGGGCTGTCCCGATTTGAGCCAATTTTTCCGAATTTTCGGACTATTTTGGAGAATGGAGGGGCAACATTTTAGCTACCATGTCGCCGACGTCGCCGACCGGGATTGAGTGTTTGTTGCGTTGAAAATGTTGGTGGTCCCATAAGCGAATGCCCTTGTGATCACCGCTCACCTGTGGCGATCTCGAGTTGCTCGGACTACTTGTGGACGAGCGGGGCACCCGCCTGTGGGGTTTGGTTATTGGGATGGCTGTCTCCTCGATGCTACTCATCGCCATGGCGAAGCCTGGGGCTCAATCATCCTGTCGACTGTACAATGTCGCACGGGAGGGGCACCAGCTGCTGACAAGTTGCATTCACTTTTCTGCCCGTTTCCATTTGCAAGTGGGTTGATTCCAGTTGCCTATTGGCCTGCAACCCTGTGTGTGTGTCACGATGTGTGAAAAATTCCCAGAAAATCACAGCATACAATGGAGCACACCCATCCTGGCATACGTTGGTCCTTTGTCTGCTTTGCAGTGCTACAGTGCCGCCAAAGGGACGAACAAAATCGAATACAATGAGTAGGAATGAGGGCAGGCCATGTGTGTGTGAATTCCATTTGTTATATTTGGCCTGTATCCCTTTGTGTGTGCATGCACTTCATTTGCTATATTTGGCCTGTATCCCTTTGTGTGTGTGAATTCCGGTTGACACAGTTCGCCTGTATCCTTGTCCAATTGTCAGTTTTGTTCTCTGTCTTTGCAGATAGTCGATGCACCTCGTTTTAAATGGCGTGGCACCATGCTGGATGTGGGGCGCCATTTCTTCAGTATCAGTTTCATAAAGAAATTTTTGGACCTTCTTGCAATGCACAAAATAAACAGATTCCACTGGCACTTAACAGAGGACCAGGGGTGGCGACTGGAAATCAAATCACTGCCCAAACTCACAGAAGTTGGTGCATGGAGAGCATCAGATGGTGGAGAGTCTTATGGAGGCTATTATAAGCAGGAAGAGGTGTGATTGGTTGACAATCACTATGTGACAGCTTGCGCCTGTGCAGATTTGTCGAAGCAGATATTCTGGCACAGTGGAAGGGCCATTGCGGTATTCTGGATGCAATGTGCAAAATGTCATTGCTGCTTCTGATGGGAGTGTGCAGTTTGCTCCCGATGTTTATTGAAAGGATTTCCCTGGCCTTGTGGTGGTGTGTTGTGTGCTGTTATCAAGTTTATGTGCACTTTTGTGTTGCTAGCACTCATTTTGCCCCGCCATTGGTAGACCGCTGGATTTTAAAATTGCCTTGAAATGTGCTCTTCAAAAAGGACACGCCACTGTGACTGTGTGGAAGCACCTTGAGCACGGTGTTGCATTCCTTTCGATCCACATTAGCAGACAGTTGATTTGCAAGTACTACAATCCAAGTGGTTTTCTTGAGATGTTCCTTGGAATTGAATGTGGACTTGTGTTCTGTGGTCAGATACCAGACATCCTTGCATACGCTGCAGCCAGGTTCATAGAGGTCATCCCTGAAATTGAACTTCCAGGTCATTGTGGAGCCGCTCTGGCTTCCTACCCACACCTCTCCTGCCGTGGCGATGTTATGGAGACACCTGCAGATTGGGGCATTCATGAAGATGTGTATTGTGCGGTGTGTTAGCATCTTTGCTGGTGGGCCGGCTAGGTGGCCAATGATCTGCTTGTTGGAGACCAAGAGCATCCCATCGGTGGCCTCCAGCCTATGCCATCGCTGTTTCATGTGGCAGCCTGGTATCCTATGGATTTCTGTTGGAGTAGGTCCTGTGTGGATAGAAAGATTCAGATGGGCTAACACGAAATCTGAGCAAACAGATGTGGCAAGCCTGGCATTGGCAGTGCTTGCCAGGTATTGCCTTGTCTGTAAGTGGGCACTGCTTTGGTTTGGAGGCGCATGTTGTGGAGGCTTGATTTTTGCATCATCCTGTGCTGGTTATTCCCAGCAGGCTACTGCTCTCCTGTTGAAACTGTCATAGTTCAATCCTGCTCACAATGTGCTTACTGATCTTCGTGTTGGTGGCTGCAGGGTAGGGAAGATGTTTTCGAGTTTCTTGAGTCAGTCCTTGGGGAGGTGACAGATCTGTTTCCTGCTGAGTACATTCACATTGGTGGTGACGAGTGCCCCAAGGTCAGATGGAAGAAATGTGCAAAGTGCCAGGAGAGGATCAAAGCGGAGGGCTTGAAGGGGGAGAATGAGCTGCAGACATGGTTCATTGAGAGGATTGCAAGGTTCCTGAAGAAACGAGGGAGGAAGATTATTGGCTGGGACGAAATCTTGGATGGGGGTGTGCCACATGAGTCTACAGTGATGTCATGGAGGGTATGGGATGCATGCTTGTCTTGCTACCTGGGCCATCAATTCTCGCTGGTCAATCCTTGCAGGAGTGCCAAGACAGCTTTGTGAATGAGTGACACAAGTCAAGCCGATGTGTCCATGGATGGTGTACACATTCTGTGAGGCTTTGGGTCCCTTCGTTCTGGTACATTTTGCTAAGATGTTGGGGGTTTAATGTTTGTTTTCTGGCCTGCACACTCAGCGATCCCTAAAGATGTTGGCCAATTGCTGCCTGCAGACCGTCGTTTGCGATGGTGCACAATGTCAGGTGGCACACTGATGGTGACGACGATGACGGCTGTTGCTGTCATAACGAAATTGGATGTTGAGGTTGCTCTTGTCTTTGCAGGGCTATTTGGGTGGAACAATTGCAGCCAAGCTGGGTCACAACGTTATCATGTGTCCCACCCAACATTGCTATCTGGACTATCGGCAGTCTGTCAGGTGGGTTCAGGAGCTGGTTGACCTGTCAATGGAGATTGTGGCCTTCTGCATTGGATTCCTGGCGCCCTACGGAGACGGGATTCGATGCTGTGGAATGGCGGTGTGGAGTTAGTGCAGCTGACATGGAACCTATTGAATCCACACCAAGTACTGTGGAGTCTTGTGCCCATCCGTTGATGAGTCAAATGCTGTTGAAACTGTATCATCTGGTAAAAACCCAAGCACTGAAGACACAGGATGCTGAAGATGTTGGTGGTTGTAACGTTCAGCCAAGACGAGCCCGGGGCGTGGTATGCGGTGCTGCCCCTTGAGATGGTGTACGCATTCAACCCCATTCCATCCCCAAGCATGACCACCCGCCACACCCCAACGTGCATCGCGAGCGACAGCGAAGCCAACGGGGAGAAACGACTCGAGCCTGGCAAGGATGGCGATGGATTGGATGCCAGCGGCAGAGGGGTCACAATGGACAACGCAACAGATGATGACCCACCGGGGATCGGTCCAAGTGCCAGGGCTGGAGATGTGGAGGGCGAGGATGATGATGAAACTGCGGCGAGGGATGGCGAAGGGCAGCATCGCTGTGAAATGCCGCCGCTCACGCCGGAGGAGGAGAAGCTGGTCCTGGGGGCCCAGGCCAACCTGTGGACGGAATACGTCGAAGACGAGCAGACGGTGGAGTACATGCTGTTGCCGAGGCTGTGCGCCTTTTCAGAGGCTGTCTGGAGCCCTCAGGAGGCCAAGGATTGCGGCCGGTTCCTCGAGCGCCTGCAGTCGCACACTCCCATATTTGACGCCATGGGGGTCAAGTACAGGCCATGTAGATGAGTCCGCGCGCAAGAGGGCATCTCTGTCCGTGTTCGGCGCGCGTGCACAGTTCCTTTGGCATGGTTAGTCGGCGGTGTGAGGAGTCGAGAGTGTGTAGTGACGGATCATTTGCGCTAGTAGGTCGTTGTGTAGGTGGTGCTGTTTGGTGACCTGTGTATTGAATCCGCGGTGCAGAAACTGCGCCAATGCGTTCTCTGTGTACATGATTCACTGAGTGTAATGATGAGCCCAGAAAACGAGTGGATCGTGTGGAGACATGCCGAGGCCGTGGGGCGTGGCTGCACCACGGGGCTATCGTTTGATGATTTGAGCAAGGCTCGAAAGACCCGCTCGACGATTTGGTTGTTTTACCACATGCCAGCCACGCGGATGCACTCAACGATGTTGCCAACAAGTTCATCGTCCATTTGCATCTGGACAAGGTGTGGGTCATTCCAAACGCCAGGTGAAGAACGAAACCCCTGGCAATGAGGACCATGCACAAGGCATCTAACAGAGAAGTGGTTGCCGAGTAAAACCTGTATCAGGCCGCGAGTGAGAGTGGTACCAGACGCAAGGGGTGCTGGACCAGCAATGCTGTGGGAGGTGCACTTAGGGTCTGGGGCTCCAGCACATGAGGCCTCACAAATGTGGTGCAATCAGCGCTGGAAGCAGATGAACGAAGTTGCAGAATGGCGCCTTGGAGCACGCCCACCGCCATTGCCTGACGCTGCGCTGAGCGCCGCACACCAAGCACACACCACGGCCATCATCCAAACAACTAACAACCGGTCTCCACACGCGGCCACAACTGTGCGTTCGCTACTGCGAACCTCGCTGATGATCCTGAAGTCTGCACAACCCAACCATTGCGATCTTCCGCATCCAACGAGAGCCTTATGACAAGCCATGCTGCCAGCACATCGCACCGGCTGTACGCTCATTCGTGCGTCCTCTTCCGAGACACTGCACCCTATCCTAGGAATCTTGGTACTGTCCTGCTTTCCATTATTTAGGGATTATTCTAGCCTACTCTCCCTGAACGTGCGCGGCGCACCAGTCCTAAGCCTATCTCTCACACACTCCACTGTGAATGCTTTTTTGTTGGCGAGCCATGCGGTCAACAAGCGATCCTCCACTTTTTTCCAACTGCAAGGTGATGTCCTATCCCCTGTGACGTTTCACACCACCGCACCACAGCCACCAGCCACTCACGCAAGGACCTGCACAGGGTCCCCGCCCATTGGTATTCCGCGTTCCTGCAGGTGGAAAGAACAAACGGGCCCAGCCACGACGGGGGATGCCCCGCGTCGTTACTATCTGTGCTTGAGACTCTGCTCTTCGCTTGAAAGATGTCGGTGCCTCCAAGTGAACCAAGGAAAAGCAGCAAAAAATAACAAAATAATGTCCATGAGCCAACGAGTACCAAGAGGCCCTCGGGGGGGGGGGCAGCGACTGCAGGCGATAGAGCACGCAAATTATGGCCAAACGCCAAGAAATTTCGAGAATCGCCAAATTCTGTGGGTACGCACACCACACCTGCTTCCGTTTCCAACAAGCGACTGGCAAGCATCAGCTCTTCTGCTTCTTGGATTTCTTCGGCCCCTTTGCAGCGCTCTGTGCAGATTTGTCTATCCCGTCTTTGCCAGCACCCCCCTTGCCAGCACCCCCCTTGCCAGCACCCCCCTTGCCAGCATCCCCCTTGCCAGCACCCCCCTTGGCAGCACCCCCTGTGCTCTGTTCTTTTGCCCTGCTCTTCTTGGCACTTCTGCAGCAGCATCCTGGCAGAAAAGACAGCAGGACAAGGCCTGGGAGAGACACAAGAGTGTAGAGCACAACGTCAAGAGTCTCTGGCGTGGCATAGGGCTGGAGCGCTGGAACAGCCGCCATCTGGGATCCGATGTACTGCTTCAGCTCTGCAGCCGTGGCAGAGCTTTGAAGTTTAATATTGGCGACAGCTTCTGATGCCATCACCTCCGATGTGTACTTCTGTAACACAAGCGAGAGCACTAACATCAGCACTGACTGTCTTGGGCAGTTTCTGCCATCCACTGGGCAACGCAATGGCAACCTTAGTAAACAGCCCACCAGCTGCACTACAGGCAAGTTCTACTTCTGCTTCCTCCACGCAATTGGAAGTAGCTCTGTGCATTCGATTCCATTTGCATATGGCCACTTGATTCAGCCACACACCTGAATGTGTTCCCTGGAGCTGGTATCCCTCTGAAGGTATAAGTTCAGCATTTCCAGGATTCATACAGTCTCCCTTTTTAGCTATATCCGTGGTCGAACAGGCTGGCCGCAAGAGGTGGCCAGATTTAGGTATTCAGCGATTTTTGTCCTGTGTTAGCGATTAATAATGTTTGGCCTGCAACGGGCGCCATAGCGGCTACAGAAAATGGCTGTGACCAGCTTCCTGAGGACTGTCTTATAATGCAACACTGTAGTTACAACACTAAGGAACCGACTTGCGACTGTGCTTGCAAGGTGTCGCTGGTGTGCGTGCAAACAATGCTGGTTTGGGCATGCACTTTCTCGCGCTGTCGGGACAGTACTGTGTCTATTTTGTGTTGTTGCCGCTTCGAGAGGTCAACTTGATTGGCACACAGCCGGCAGTGATTGCTAGACAGCAGTCCACAGCACAGGAGACTTGCATCAGCATTGGCAGTTAGATTGTGCCACGGCAAAAAGTGCCCTTGCGGGCCACAGGTATTGGGAGCATGATTGCCGGTCACACAGGCATAACAAGACCTGTTCTCAAAACCTCAGATTTTGGCCCCCCCTGGAATGACGAAATGGAAAGCCAAACACGGGCCACATAGCTCCACCATGGCTCCCTTGGGGTGAAAGATACCCTTACCTGCACAGTCTCAACTGCCACATCAATGTGAGGTTTCGCAGCCACATAAGAAGAGGTCATCCACTCTTTGGCCATCACAGTGAACTCGTCCATTGTTGGCTTGGCTGCAGCGTACGCCTCTGACAGACTCTTGGCAGCCATGTTGGAGCATTTCATGGCCCCAGAGGTCAGGTTGCCCACCAATGGGTGTGAAGTGGCCATGTCTGTGTACGGAGCCACCCAGGCCATGGTATTGCTCATGGCCTCCCTCAGCCAGGCAGGCACAGCGGCAGACTCAAGCTCTTTTTGCAACTTGAGGACCTCGGCCTTTGCTGCGTTGGCTTCATTCTCAGCCTGCAACAGGGCACATGATGGTCATACACGATGCCACATTGCACAATGCCAATTCAATCCGCATGACAGCAAGGTTGATACCAATCTGGTACTAGATGCACACCCTGGCAAGCTGTAAAGTACGCCAATGTCCAAAGCCAAATAGAAAAATCAGCACAAAAATGCGAGGTTGTATGAACACCGGTCAGATGGTTCACATGGCTATATTAACATTGCCTTTCACTTTAGTGGCAGGGCATTATTTCTCACACTGACAATTGTGATTGCCATTCCAGTAGGTGATCCCTACCCAAACAGTTGCATCAAGGTGGCAAGTACCAAGCAGCCAGGGCTGGCTAAGGTGCTGAGCATTGCAGGACAGTACATTGCATCAACAGGAACTGCCCTCTAAACATCAATTCAGAGCATATCTTCAAGCGAAAGGAGAAAAGAGAGGACACCAATGGAAGAAATATATTGCATTCTGCAAGTGGTCAAGTGAAAGGCCACCACTGCCTCACCGCCTGCACTCTGCTCGCCAAGCCCTTGAGTTCTCCTTTGCAGCTTTGCAGCTGACTTTGGCCTTCCGCCTCGGAGCTCTGGATCTTAGACAGCTTCGTCTGGACCTTGGATAGCTCTGATGACAGCGATTCGTTTTGCTGCTCCAATTCCTGCAACTGCTTCTCAGCCTGCAATGGATGCCAGCCAATGTTAAGGCCCACCACAGGCACCACCTTGATCGATTCCAGGCCACTACCTCCGATGCAGGGCATGGTAAAAGCTGCAGCAGATTGGAAGCAGCTTACATGAGGGTTGTCTCATAGCACAATGCAGACCACAGCTGACAACAATGGCTTATAACAATAGCTGCTTACTGAAGCAAACCTGCTCACAAGAAACAGACAATGGGTGCATGCTAAATGCTTATCCACAGGACATATTAGTCCACCAATGAGGTTCACACCCAACTCAAACCGGTGCATATATGGAATCTCACACTTGACACTCGTTCCAGAACCAAATCCTAGATTGATGTGGACAGTCCATCCGGAGTGCGCCAAGGTGACAAGTCAGTCTGCTGGTCAAGGCAAACCCATGAAGTCCATCTTGGTGAGCCCAGGTAAGGTGACCATTTTGATAGTGAAGGCAAACTCAATTAAGGCATGGGCAATGCTGAACTACACAACAGCATCCCTTCCAAGCCCTTCAGCACAGCAGTTCACTTAAGCCTTGTGGTGAATAGGTGCTGTTATTTTTGTGCGAAGCCACAGGGAAACTATTTCCTTCCTTCTTGGTACAATAACTGCCCAACCTACTGGCGTGATGGCCAGCTCTGATTGAGCACACCTTCTGTGTGTTTCCTTCCACAAACTGTGTTCCCTAATGTCCATTATTACTACAGCAGGGAGAAACTCTGTGCAACATCTCCACCAGCAAGAAGGCCATTTTTATAAAAGTTTGGCACCCTTAGTTTGAGTTGGCACCAAAAGCTTGTTGTGCTACACCCTACAACACAAGTGTTATCTTCGCTAAGTGGATCGGCAACACAGTTTCAATATGCGATCCAAGCTTTCAGGTAGTTTCAGTTTATGCCTGAACAGAACATCAGCACACATTGCCTTGACACTGCTGTGCCCGTCATCGCCTGCTGATGCGCAAGGGCTTCTGTAGTGTAATGCATCTTTGACAATTGTAACACATGAAAACTGGATCGAAGCCCCTTAAAGCCCCAACTCAAATCACCTTGGCACTGCTTCTTTTAGCTGTGTCAAGTTTCTGCTGGCATGCACTGAGGTGGCCTTCTGTTGCAGTCTGCGTTCTGCCCACTTGATTTTTCAAGGCAACAATTTGCGCCTCCAAGGCGGAGATACTCTCGTCCTTGACACCAATCTCATCCTTCCACTGGACAAACAAGCGCCCCACCACACTGTTCAACTCTCTGATGCACTGTGCACTCTACGACAGTGTTCAAAATTCCCACAACCCCAGATTGCCACGTGTATGGCAGTGGGTTGGAAAAGGGCCCTTCACCAAACTGATGACATCCCTCGCAGTGAGTCGTCTCAGGACGTAAAAGCACAGTTCAAAGCACACAAAGGGCACAAAAACTCATACTCAGATGCAGCCTATTACTATCCCCTCTTCCATGCCCCAGCAGCTAGTCCAAAGGGCATGCAATTAGACAAAGCTGAGCAGGGGTGAAGAGATTCCCTCAATCCTGGGGCTGCCAGCTGAAACTGACCACAAGCCAAAGGACACTGTGGATCTCACATCACAGATATTGCCCATTCTTTATCTCCAGATTCAAAAGGGTATACGGGATGGATTCGATGTGACCCAAGTTTTCGAAACGCGCCGTCTTGCACTACAGACTTTGCAGGTGACCAATCGACACGCGGCTCGTGCTCGCGTCGGTGTGCCAGAAGCGCTGTTGACATTGCAGTACGCTGGCAACGATCAAGAGTTCCAGGAAACGCAAGTTCGATCTGCATCCACCGCGGGTCGATCCGCTGCTGCGCCGCGGCGCACAGTCCCCGCTCCTTGACGCACATCGCTGCGCGGCGATCGAACCAGGATTGTGATCAAGGTTGCACGTGGCAGCCATCTCGCATTGCCGGATCGCCCAGAACTACACATGTCGGTTAGAGCGCAGCCGTTCGCTTCAAAAATAAAGCGGGCTTCACCAAAAAGCGCAGCGAGGGCGACGATCTGCGATCTCCACCTGCCGCGACTTGGAGATCTCCGCCTCCTTGTCCCTCAGCTGCGCCTTGAGTGCCTGGATCTCCTGCGAGCCAGGCAAACGAACGCAAGTGAGAGCGCCTGGAGGCGCGCATGCCCCGCTCATCAAAGATCCACTGCGCCAAGCAATCAGAAAGAAAGCCGCAGACACAAAGAAAGCCAGGGTAAAAGAAAGGCAAAGCGACAGAAAACCGCGGACGACGAAAGAAAGGCACAGAAAGAAAGCCCCAAACGGCGCCGGTGTGCCAACGCGAGTCAACGTCAATCACACCCCTGACGGGACGACCAAAAAAGATGGCAAAAGAAAGCCGCAGAGGGCGCCGATGGGCCGACGCAAGGCAACGTCAATCACACCCCCTGCGCGCCAGTGGGCGAACGTGGGCGAACAGTGGGCGAACAGGCCAGCGTTCGAGGGATCGAATCATGCGACACGGACGACTCGGAATCGCACATCCGGGCGCTCACAAACGGAGTTCTGTCCCCCCTGCATGCTGCTGGGCACCGGCCGCTGGGCCCCGGCCGCTGGCCCATCGGACAAACCCACAACTGGGGCTGCCCGCGTCCCGCGATGCGCCCGATCCATCCCCGCTGCCCCCACTCCCGATTACACCCAGCGGATGGCTGCAGCATCTCGCCGTCCCCGGGCCTCACCGCCCACCTGGTCCCTCGCCGCAATCTGCTTCTCGTGCTTGGGCGCCTGCGGGCCCTGCCCCCGCGCCACCGCGGCGGCCAGCAGCATCAGCAGCAGCAAGAGATGCCGTCGACCGCCCATGAGCGAAAGGGCCAGATTCGAGAGAGCGACGGCCGTGCCCAGGGACGCGGTGCAACTGCCCGGCGCCTCCCAACGTTCCGCGAAGGGAGGACAGCTGTTGGGTGGGGGCGGGAAGTGTGGCTGGGGCGTCCTGCCCCACGTCCCGCTTTGATAGCTCGTCCGCCTGCTTTAGGTAATTGTGTGGGTGTTAGGTCCTATTGCAAAGGAGTGGCAGGTTCAAGTGATGGATGAGCACAAGTCGTTTTTTTTTGTTTTTTTTTCCCCACCACCCTGGGCGGTAAAAGTCGTGTGCCGTGGCGGCTGTGCCCCTGTTGGTTTGAGACTTGCCTCTGAGGGAAGGACGGCGGCGATAAGATCGCTGCGGTGCGCTCCGTGCGCCTTGGGGCAGTGTTCCCGGATCGCGCTGGGTGGCAAGCTTTGTGTGTTCTGCCAAGATTGGCGTGCAAGAGCTGCGCGTTCAGCGAAAGTTGCCGCGAGCAGGCGTCTAGCCCGCGCAATGGCGCCTCCGCCGGCGCGCCAGTGGCGTTCGGGCAAACGGCGGATTGCTTCGCTGGGGCCGATGGGCTTCTGGACGAGTAGCTGATCTGGTTGTTGGCCGCAACGGGCTTTTCGATATACAGCTGACCTGCTTGTTGGGTGCGATGGACTTTTCCGACAGATGCCTGATTTGCTTGTTGGGCACGGTGGCGGGCGCGTTTCCCGGACGGGGCTGCTGTGTCGGGTGCACGCCTCAGTCCCAAAGGACGCGCAGACGGACGGAGGCCCGTGTTGCAGAATGCGCACACGTGCCAGTATCTGCGTCAAAATCCTCCAACATGTGGCGTCGGGATGGCATTGTGTATGTGGCCATGAGGCTGAAGGGGGGGTGGGGTGGGGGGTCCTCAATGACGAGAATTTGGTGCATAGGAAGTGCCGGCTGACACAAATGATGTCACACCAAAACCCGAGGGATGCCTGATTATGGTTGTCTCAGCGCCGTCAGCGCAAGCGCAATCGCCTGTCGGCCAATTGCAGATCGGCGCTGCGAAAATGCCGAGGTGCGGTCTTTAGGGCGTGCCTAGGTGCGGGTCATTAGGACATGCCTTCGTTGAAGCTCGTTCGGAAAATGGTCAGCCGAGTGCTCTTGGATCGTGCGCGCCTTTGGGGAGGCCTCGGTGGGTTTGCAGGCATAGGACGATGACGACAATTTTCTTTGCCGAAGGGAAGTGATTCCCTGGTGATTAAGACAATACCTCTAAGAAGCCCGGAGTCTTGACACCTGCAGACTGCGGCCACAAGGATGTGAATGCGTTGCTGGCCAGTTGGGTTGCGCCCTCCATTTGTCACCCAGCACCTCCATAGGTCCGTGGGTTCCCCCACAGGGCGCACAGCAAACCACGTTGAGTTGAGTCGTCTGCGTCGTCAGTGGCGCCGATGAATTGGATGATTTGGAACAAGACAATTGGAAGCAGCAACCTGAGTATTCCTTGTTCTGGTTTTGGGCAACTTTCTTCAGCATGCACTTTGTTAACAGCAGCAGGGGTGGTGCCGGTGATGAGAACCCTTGCCAACAGACCTGGCACCTGATTGTGGATGTGATGGTCATCTAAGGGTCTGAGGCCATCACCTTCATGTTAGCCCTTGCCTGGACCTCAATTTATGCTGCCTATGGAAAACGCGCGAGTGGAGCTAGCACTTTGCGTGGACACAAGTTTGATCCCTGCCCGAACAGTGCATGGGGACCCATAGAGCTGTGTCAGAATCAGCTAACACACGAATTTGCTGATACCTTCCAGTGCCCAAGACAATACCTGCAAGCACCTAGAAGCACAAGGAGCCCTGCTGCACGCCAATTGCATCTCCACTTTGGAATCTTTGTGTATGGTACTGCTGACACCTGTTATTTCTTTCCCAACAACAGGCCGTGTCGTCCAACTTTCGTGAACGGATACAGCGTTCGATGGCAGTACTGGACCTTGCCAAGCGGGGCCTTCTGAGTGACAGAGCCCAAGGCCTCAATCATGGCCAGAATGGACACATCCATTATGTACAAGCGATCCCCTGCCATACTGGCCCATAGGGAAAGGCAGGCAAACAGAACACAGCCTGTCAGCCAAACGCAAAATCTGCCCCAATGGCCAGGAGCAACATATGCACACACGTCCCACACCTTGCTACATTCAAATTTGCATTTACAATTTTCTGGACTTTACAATTCTGAACGGACGCTCCTACATCTCTTCAAGTGTTTGTCGCCCAAAACTAGTGCAGATTCCCCCACCTACTTTCGCCCCTTTCTCGCTCTGGTCAAAAATGCCTCAATTCTAGACTTCAGCTCAACATCTGGAGTGACCATTTCCAGCTTCAGCTCTGCCCGGCTGAACGGATCGGTGCTTTGACTCAACAAGTGCCTCTTGATTGTCGAGCGGTCCACAGTGATCTTTGAGTCCGGAAGCACAACAGGATCCTGCAAGCACAGCGCACATGCCAAGTTGCCTGCCAGCGGAATTGCCACACAGTTTGCGTCTCTGCGCTCTGCAGCCTCTACCGCACCTGCCTGTGCTGCGCACAGTAGCTTTTGCGTCGCACGTACGTGTGTTTGCATGCATGGCCAAAGGATGGGGATCTGATGCCAAGGGAGGCATGCTCTCCTCCACCGCACCCACAAAGTCTACACGCCGTCACTCTTCATAAATGCACATATCGTGAGCGCGGGGACATAGAGTACGGCAAACTGTCCAAGTTTGGTATCTGCCATACTTCACACACAGTTGTTCGGCATAGCTCGCTTTCCAACAACTCGGCGCCTCGTTGCTGCGGGCGCCCCCCCATACTTTCATTCACTGACGTGTCCTGTGCGTGCACTAATCTGCACTTGCGACTGTGCAATACCTCATCTGCACGTGCACACGGAATGCCAGGGACTGGATGAAGACGGCTGGTTGCACACAATTTATGTGGGCAAGAACTGTGTTGCAACAGCGCAATTCAAGATGGTGCAGCATTTTTACTTGCCCGACGCGTTCTCAATGCGCACTCGTGCCCAGGCTGGCCAGACAGCGCTGAGGCGCCGAGTCTGGTGACGATGGCTGCACAGGGAGTTATTACCTCCATTTGTACTGATTTGCCAGTTGTTTGTTCCCCAAGTGCAAGTGCCTCGCTATGATACATTAGTTGCCTCCAGTGGCTGTGGAAAAGTGGGACACACACTATGGGCATAAACACGGATGGGGCATGGCTAGTAACGCCAAAACTCTTGTATCAAAGGGTTCCAATTTTAGTGAAAAATCTCTCTGTCAAGTACCTCCATCAGCGTCATGACAATCGGGTCCAGGAACTCATCGGGCAGCGACTCCTCTGATTCAATGCCTCCCGCTGTGCTGCTGGCCATCTTCCTCCTCGACTCCTTGCAGGTTGACAGCAGCTGGCTCAGTGTGCCCACGGATTTGTGGCAGGACGCCCCCGGGAAAGACAGCTTCCAGTCCACGGACTTTAGGTAGTCCAGGCACTCCGTAGGGCTGGTAGACTCCGCCAGAACCTCTGCTAAAGAGAACTGGGGCTCGCTATCATAGCCTGCACACCGCGCAATGGACAAGTAAACACGGGCGGTAGCGAAGTTGGCAGCGACCATCAAGTCATTCGACATTCGCCGAAAGGCCAGGAGCCGCAAGCAGCTGATGGCGGGCCCTTCCTTCTCCTTGCAGGCATGCAGCCACAAGGTCCAACAGCCAATGCTTTGTTGACAGTGGCCAGTGAAGCTGGCACCATCTTTTGCAACTGGGGTCCTCTGTATCAGGACCCCATTGCCAATCTAACAAGTGGAGTCCATCAATTCACACTTGTGGCGCTGACTTGCTGGGAGATGAAGAGCACTGCTTGGGTCGGCGAAAACCCCGCCCCAGCATTCAACACATCCACATTACTGAGGAGGACTCGTGGGCGCAAAAGTGGTGTTTTGTCACAACTCGACTCTCGCTCACACACACAAGGCGCACCTTCCGGAAGGTTGCTCTGCAGTCGTTTCTTCCCGTCAGCCGACTTGCTGGCAAACTGGAGGTCGATGAGCACCCCTGCCAAAGGGGCTAGCATGGCCGTGCGTGACACCTTGGACTTGAATTCAGAGGGGGTGCCAGGAGCCTCCAAAACTTTCTCAAAGACACGAGCATCCGATCCGGTGGTCACATGAGAAAGGATGAAAGCGACCACCTCAACCAGGCGAGTCAGGTTCAGCTGCAAGCCATGCAAACGTAGTGCCCAGATCAGACATCGCACTGCAAACAGGTACATGCCTGGATAGGGTGGAACTCCCCGTTGTGGCAGCAAGGCAACCAGGCCTAGGTAGTCAGCACACACAAACAACCAAAGCAGCTTCCTAAGCAGCTCTAGCGCGGCTGTGAATACCCATCGGGTGATACCCAGCTGAAAGTTCTGTGACACAGTGGCAGAGGGAAACACGACTCGTACGTGACCAGCCAAAAATAGAAGCAAACATGGCCGCAGCTGCGATCTTCAGCCCAGTAAGCCAGACTGATGACCACATTGCGCATGATATCACAAGGCAAGGCAGTGCTTCAGACCTCAGGCTTGGTGAGAGTTGTCACTGGCGATAAAACCAAAAGCAAAAGTCCACAATGGACAAAGCACTATTTGGCAGGGCACCCCACACACCTTGCTGCCACAAAGGAAGACACCTGGCATTTGGTGTGTCACCAATTCCAGCATGCGCAACAGGTTTATGGAAAGATTGAACAGGACCGTGGCCTTCCTGTACTGCCTCTGCACTTCTGCGATGCCTCGAACCACTCCCCTTGCATGTGTGATATCGTTGATCTCTTTGATCGTGACTGTCATCTCAGTGACAGTCCAATTCAGGGTGTTGAATAGGCGGTTCAGAAAGCCGTCCAACAGGGCGCCTCGGCTGAGACAAGTGTTCAAGAAGATCTGGCGAAACCTGGATCCAGATGCGGGGTTGCCAGCCTGCAGAGATGCAGTTCAGTAGCGTGGGGTTTACAAGGACCCTGGTTTACGAATGGTATCCGATCAGGCCAGAACCACAATCACCTCTTAACTTGCAGACTTTGCACACCACCTGCACTCGCACTCAGCTACAGGCATGATGTCACTGGCTGCAAATAACCTACAAGCTCGTAGTGGGTATGACATATCTGTGCACGAAGGTGGCAATTGCCATGCCCACCACACTCATCACATTGCCACAAGGACATATCCATCTGTTGTAGAGATTGCGCACACCACACCATGGTCAACAGCATGTTGAAACTGAAATGCGTGAATTTCCAGCCTGCATATGGTGCATAGCAACACTTTCAAGTCCTGAAAAGCATCCAAAAGCATTGAGGATGCATCAGGACATATCAAGCCACATATTGAACTGCATGCATTCGTTTTTGTGCTGCCCACCTGACCAAACCCAGTGCCCTTTGCCATGCTGAGGAAAATGTTGGAAATGGAAAGCCAGTATCTGGAATCAAACGACTCCAGCAAAGAAGGCACCAGGCTGTCACAAGCCTCAGGATTGTGCTCAAAGGTAGCTAGCAGGTCCTGCACACAGCAAACGATCCAAGCTCTTCAATGGTCGCTATTGAGAAGCCACATGTTGTGCACTGGAATAGAAATTTACAAGGGGAGAAGTTCTCCATAAACTCAAAATCACACTGCCAATGTTGGTGTGCACATGGCCAAAACCAGTACCGTAGATCAAGGAGCATAGCGCGGGAGTGTTGAACAGCATGGGCACCTTTAGATAACGCCCCCTGGGTTATCAACCTGGCCAGTGTTGCGGAGCATGGGGTGTGCGCAAGATATTGCCCAGGGGGGGAGGGGGGTGTCTGTACTAGTTACTTCAACATCATATAAAATCGGAAATGCAAGAGCATTCTCACACATTCTTACGTCTCATTGCATGTGGTATCACCCCAGTGTTATCAAGTCCACTCTCACTAAACAGTGTCATGACATTCCTCCTTCAATCAAACACCATGTCCCCAAGATTATCAGTGTCCAGCTCCATACTTTTATAGAGTATGGTACTTATGCATACTCCACACATATGCTGCACTATGCATGCAGCTGCATACTGTTGTTACACGAGGCAGCACAGCACAGTGCAGTGCAACGTCCCATTAGCTGTTCCCATGCATTGCTTTGGTTGGCACTGCGACTGGCACCTTACGTAATGTGCTAAAGTGGCAGGGTGTCAATATGTGTTGCTGTCGTACGCCGGCCATTGTGACAATGCGGGGGTCGCTACTGAGTCAGCAACTTGATGCAGAACGCCGGGGGAGTGGAAAACCATGTGGGAGCATGCAAGATAGTGCCCCCTGCATACCTGGCCCCCACACTAATGGGGGGGGGGAGCGCTAACCTCTGTAATCTACGGTACACAAATAGTGACCTCACACCAAGGAGAAATCGACTGATGGCATCAGGGCTTCCAGGTAACGGCTGGCAAGTAAATACTATTCTCCTATCAATAAACAAGAAAACCATTTCCATGTGGAATATGTCTATGCACAAGAGCTCCAAAAACAGAAAATGCACTGCAGCCAGTCAGCATGCAGCAGCGAATGGATGCAAAAGTACATGAAGCTTGTCTATGCAGAGAACAACTGCAAAATGTAGGCAACCATTATTGCCCGACATACCTTGTCACTGAAGAGAGCTCCAAGAGCTTGGAGGAGAGCATCACATATTTGGGGGTTGAGGACCATGGGATGGTTGAAATGGTGAACAAGGAAGTCAATGACATGCTGTAGCCCCATGGCCTCCAGCCTGTCAACAGGTGCAAACCTAGCATCGGCCTTGGACACCGCCTGAAACAGCTCCAGCATGCATTCCACGTACACTTCAGGTGCAAACCGAAACATATCTCCGCCACTGCCTGACAAGGCAGACAAAAGGCGAGATATGTAGACTGTCAACACAAACAGACATTCTTGCTTCCATGGAGAGAACAGCACCACCTGGACAAAGAACACCCAGTTTCAGCTGCAAGAAAGAATGTGTTCATTGGCAGCCCACACCCATGCACAGTTTTCTTGTTTCGACTACAGCTTCTTGGTCTGGAAAGAATGGTTGGCACCCTGACCAATGCCTTTCACAATCAACAGCCCACACCACACAGTCATTGTCACTTTACAACAAAAAGGGAATGAGAACATTTCGAAACCCACCACCTGCCCCACTCACTTCTAATGAGACTATGGAAGTACATTGTTCCGCCCGAGCAAGTAACACACTGTGAGGAATGCACAATGAGGGAATCATGCTAAGAGGACAATGTCCAGCAGCATGCAACTAGGAAATGTGCACTCAGCAGCCCACAAGACCAATATGGATGTTGAAACGAAAAGTGCCGACAGCTAAACCAACACTTCTGCACCTTGTACCAGGTGCAGTTCCTGACGCTACGGGCTTCCTCTTCCCTCTGTTTCTGAATATCTGCGGCCAGCCTTCGCTGCTCTGCGTCACTCATCCCCTCACTCCTTGCTAAGCGCTGCTCGTTCCGTATGAGGGAAAGTCGAAGACTGGCTTCATGCTGAAATTGATGAACTGTCTGCAGCCCAGAAAGGGCAGTGAAACACACGCACTCAGCAACCTATCATCGTCAACGAACTTGAGACAAGACACCAGCACAGATATCACAAAACACGAATCACCTTTGATTCAGCACGTCACAGCTCAAAGAAAAACTTGAAAATGTTCTGTTACAACAAAAACAAATGCCAATGTGTCATTATGAACGCCAATTTGTATTGTGACAGTCTTTATCAACGTGTCATTATCACATAGCAATGCCGTTAGGAATGCCGTTGTTCTCCAAAATGGCGAAGCAGGAACGACGAATAGTGGGCCCCTGGCTTCACACAGTCCACACTTCTCCAGGGCAGTAGTCCCCAAGAAATGTAGTGAGTCAATGCTGCTCTGACCAAGGTCATGGCCATGGCCAAGGCTGGTGGTGCGCACCATCTTCAGTGCTGCCTCAATTCCCAGTCTGTACAGCAACACCAGCACATGCAGCAGCGGCGCAGCCAGGCTTGGTGGCACACAGCTGTCCTGAATGTCCAACGTTGAAATGGCGTCCGGAGGCAGGTGCAGAACAAAGTGGTCAGGAGCCTCAATGGGATACTCTTTCAGCAGGTAGGACAGGGTGCCACCCAACCGTGGAAGATCTTGGTGCAAGCTTGGTACCAATGTGCCTTGTTCTCCCAGGATTCCCTACAGCACCAGCACAGAGTCAAATTCTACCCTATGCATGCTCTCTGCACCTGTATCATTGCAAGCTGCGTCGCTGCAGGTCCAAGCGGCTGAGGCAGGGCTTTCAGAGAATGAAGTTCAAGAGTGCCTCAGTCAGCTGCCTCAGTCTCAGAGATGCACACGTTGTTTTCGACACAAACTGACCCTGTTGGAGGTTACATTGAACAAAACATATTTGCACACTTGATATCGCAGTCTCACAAAAAGATGCAACAAAAGATGCAACAGGTGTTGCACAGAGTTTACATAGCACGCACATCCAAAAATATCTTGGCCACAGGGAAGGTGCCCAGCCACTGGTTTGAGTGCTCCGTCAAGTATGGCCGCAAAAGCCTCAGCAGCAGGTTGAAGGACGACACAAGGACTGACACATCTGCGCAGAACACAGAAACGATGTGACAAAGATTTTCCATTCACCAGCAGAATCGCATCTCAATTCTGTGTGAACGTGGGCAGCAGGCTATCTGGCTGTCAGCCACAGCTGCTGTTGCAGCAGCAACGATGGCGTCGGCAACCACAGCAGCATGGACATGTCTTCAGCTACATACCTGACAGTCCGAGGGGTTGTATGTTGCGACTGGCACCATGGTTCTTCTTCAACAAGTACACAAAGAAGTTCATCACAGGGGTTGGCTTGGTTGACAGCAACCTGGAGAACAAGTCGTGCTGCGCCTTTTCAATGTTGCCAAGCGCCGCTGACAGGGTGGCCACCATGGTTGCCATCCGCTCCTCACCGAACCTCTCGTCCTTGAGCCCCTTCCACCAGACATTGGGCAGCAGCTCCTGCAGGTCGTCTGCTGTGGGCTGTTTCCGGGTGAGAAAGCCCTCCAGCACTTCGTCCAAATTTGGGAGGCTCACGAACAACGACGCCACAGACACGTGGTCAAGAAGGGCATTCATGAGCACCAGGTGGGGGTGGGATGCTGTGCAGGGCAGGTCTCTGGGCAGGAAGGGAGACGACCCGCAGTGCTTGGACAAAGCCGTTATGACCTGGGTCATGCACTGATCAAACTGCTGCTTGCTGAGTGTCGATTCCAGCATGTCTATGGCTATGTGCAGACCATCGTGTGTGCGGTCCTGGTATGGTCTGTCGAGCACCATCCTGAGAAATGGCAGCAGGGAGTCCAGCACAACATACTGGTGCTGCAGAAGCGGCTGGAGGTTTTCCATGACCGTCGCCGCCAGCAGCGTCCTGTCATCCGTGGACAGCCGCGGTCGGGACAGCATGACGTTGGTGGAACGAGACAAGGGGCTCTGGCCCGTGGCGGTGACGTCGATCAGGCGGGCCAGGGTGTCAAACAGGTACGCAGCACTGCACCTGATGGCCTTCCTGGGCGGGTCCTGGATGGACCGGTACCCCTCCACCGGGTACCTGAGCGGCTTGGACCCGAAGTTGAGCTCGCATCGCTCCCCGTGCGACAGGCTCACCGCTGGAAAGTACCCCAGGTGCGGCTTCACCGTCCTCACGTTGTCGTAGGCCACCCCCAGGGACACCCCATTCCTGCAGAATGTCACCTGGCCCTCATCCAGGTTCAGGCAGCAGCCCAGCACGTCCCCCGGCGCCCAGGCCTGCCCGTACGCCTCCGGGTGCACGCACCACTTCCTCACCCGCTTCCCGTCGAACGCGTAGCTGTCCGCCCCGTCGCCCACGCCCTCCTCATTGTTGAACTTGCACCTCAGCGTGGCCCAGCCCACCTGCTGGATCCCCGCCGTCACCAGCGTCACCTCATACATCCACTTCCCCTTGAACACGCACGTGCTCCCCCTGCAGCTGCTGAAGCTGCCCTCGCTCCCCAGGGACAGCCCATCTTGCCCGACGGCCAGGTGGCCAAACACGCTTCCCTTATCCACCCGAACGCCGGCTGGGCCCAGCCTGCCATCAACCTCGCCGGCCTCCGCGGCGGCCTCCTCCCGCGCCTGGACCTCGATCGAGGCGATCCTGCAGCTCAGGCAGGACTCCACGGCCCGGAACAGGATGCTGGATCCCCGGCACAGGGGCTCCCGGCAGGTGTCAAGGTCGAGGACATATCTGAGCGTCGAGGCGAATTCCTCCTCCTCCGACTTGCGCGGCGTGGAGTTGACGCGCAGTTGGCCGTCCTCGTCCTCGGGGGAGGGCGCCCGCAGCAGCAGCGCCAGGCCTTCGCACTTCGCGCCGTCCTGCTTCTTCAGGCCCATCACCAAGCGGGGGGCAACAGATTTGCGGGGGCCAACCCCTAATGTGCGTCATGTGGCTCCTGCTCCTGCCCCCGTGACAATGTGGGAAAACACGTCTTGGTGCTGCCAGGATATGTTCATTTATAATTTGACATATCATTCAACACACCATCAATTTAACGCATTAACAATTCCCGTTCACGTACATGGGAATTGATGGATTTCTGGACTTTGTTTGTGTTATACGTCTGGATTTCATTGAACAGACCATGCTTTGCTGGGGCACAGTGAGTAGCTGACAATGGATGATGGTGATGATGATTTGGCCAAGAGACAGTTTGGGCAACACAATCGCAGCCAACACATAGTAGGCAATCAAGTGTTGCTCCCACCATTTGTCATAGATGGGCGTCGGATGAACAGGATGACCCTGGATCGACTGTCTTGCCCTCCCCAGAAGATCTTGTCAGAAGTTGTCCGAATCGAGTTCGTGTGATTAAAAGTAGCGTCAGATGGTGCGTTTTTTCGGTTTTGGCTACGTTCTTCTACTGACGTTGAAGGCACAATCGGAAATGACTTGGAAGGACACGAAAGCGCAAGTACAAGGATCGGCAAATAATTCTTTGATAGCCAATCTTCAGTTCTCGGATATTCAAACGGGGCTGCGTGTAATGCCCGGTGTGGCCCAAGCACTTTACCAACCATCGCGAAAGGGAATGCAAGTACTTCGGTGGAGCGCAGTGAACTCTCGAGATGTACAGGACAGATTCCGGGAATTTCGGTGCCTGCCCAGTGTGGAGCGCCACTCTGTTCGGCTGTGCCTGAAGGCCCAGGGGGTCCATTGGTGTGCATTGAAACCCGAAGCCATCTTTCCTTGCGCTCAAATTGGGGCCAATCCGGCGTCTTTGCATCAGACATCGTCCATCCGGCCCTTGCCAGGGCTTTCTGCAGGACCAGCGTCCGAACTCACGTTCTTCGCAGCAGTTTTCCTTCCATCTGGAAGTCAGGCACAAAGTGGAAATTCGAACAATCAAAATAGACAGGGGCCCTGGCAGGCCGGCTCCCCGGCCCTGTCACCTGTGAGCAGCGTTAACAGACATTTCTAACGCCCGAAGATTGCAAATGTGTCCCATTCCTGAGTAGGGGCCTGGCCTGAACTTGCAGGAATTCGTAAAGTTTAGAGCCCAACATTCTGGGACTTGACTTCCAAGGTGTTACACATCCAGAGGATGGGCCGATGGCGCATTGCGCCCAAGGCGTTATCTGTCGCACCAGCCTACCATCAACAGCCCTGCCTGACTGCCGTTGAGGGGAAATTCAGCTGTGCCTTCGTGAGAACGAGAGCGCTGGAGAGTGCATTTGCATGCCAAAGGTGTTGTACATTAATGGGGCAGCTGTAGCGCAGCGCGCTTGCCACCGAATCCGATGCCCAAGTGCCTGCCCGACCTGCACATAGCATCAAAGCAATCCAAGCCACCCTCTGCCCTACCAAAAGCTCTCAAGACATCTCCAACAATGCCCTATCAAAAGCTCCCAGGACATCTCCAACAATGCCAAGGCCACGACATTCCTGCCAGCACATTATCATGATGGTTCAGGCAGTTGCTGCCTGTCTAGAATGTGAAATCAAGGCACCATCACAGAGTGCATGGCCTGATTAAGTGCCGCAACCCATTTATGGCCTAACGCCTTCAGGGCTGTGCATAGATGGTCATCCAGCACCTCACTGCTTCATTGCCACAAGAGTAAAGTGCGCAGGACTGCTGTTCACCTGGCTTGGCGGCTGAAACCCCCTCTCTTGGATGGCCGCGTGCAGATCGAGGTTGATGTATTCGTTCAGGTATGGCTCTGTGCTCTTGAATCCCGCATAAGCGAAAGGATTGTTCAACACCCTTTCGAACCTCTCTGACCATGGGTTCATTTCCATAATTGCAAGGATGCCTCTTGGTCGCAGTATTCTGTGCGCCTCTGCGATCACAGCCTTCGTTGCATCCCCTGGCAGTTCGTGAAGGACCAGGCATATGGACACAAGGTCCATGCAGGCATTAGGCAGCCCTGTCCTTTCTGCAGCTGCATGGACGTAGGCGATAGGCTCTTTCTTGCTGCCCTTTTCCAACTGCTGCATCTGTTCGTGTCGTGCTACTGCCAGAAAATATGGTGACAGGTCAATGCCTGTGACCTTGGCACTGGGGAACGTCCTCAACAGTTCCTTGCTACTGAGGCCTGTGCTGCAGCCAATGTCCAAAATGTCCTTGACCTTCCGAGCAGGTACCTTGGAGAGCAAGGCTTGCATGGCTTCACCATAGCTCTTGCGAAGGTTAAGGTCCCCCCTGCACAGGACCAAGGCAAACTCCATCAGCACATGCATGTTCACACACAGTCCCATTCCAGACAAAAATGGTCCCTGACATCCATGTGTAACGTGGTGAAGCAGCTGTGGCACTGCACACCATCAAAGAATGCACACTCGTACAATCTTTGATTTGCTTCCTTTTTGGAGGTTGTCACAAAGTCCTGCAAAGGAGAAACGGCCTAGTGTCTTCCTAAACAATAAGGATGTTCTATGTATGCCTTGGGATTCCCATTAGCGTAACCAGGTTACAACATGCACCAACAGAGACGGACTCAAGGACCTCTAAATGGGGAGTGCAGTGGTACGAGCCTTCAAGAATACCCAATTGGCTGTCGAAATTCAGATTGTTGGCAATTTGTCATACGTCAAACAAGAGGACAAGTGAAAGAGAATCCTGAGACCGACAGTGCTAGACAAGAACCTCGTTTCATGTACTGCTATCATTCTGTGCAGAATCCAAGTTCTAGCTGGCTGCGGACTGCACGCAGGTGCAGACAAGTCTTCATTGTCCATCCTGCTGGCGCCTGGCCGCTGCCACTCACTCTGGATCCATTACTTTGCGCTTTGGATCCATGACAAAGCTATGCACACTGATGGCAGCAGCTGTAACTTCAAAGGCAGCCTCCCAAGATAGATTGCCCTATGAAACACAGCAATAACAGCATGTGAGACGTTGGCCTATAAGGTGCCCAAGTTTGGAGTTACCAGCCTTGTGCAAAAATGTGGAACTGGATACAAGATGTCGACCACAAACATGGAAAAACTGTTCTTCCTGCTGCCCTTACATACGCAGAGGACAAAGCCACTAACCAGCGAATTGATATCAGCAGTGTTAAAGCACACAATCTACAGGCACTGCAGGCTCCAATCTCATTCCCATCTGTCTCTGCTCTTCAACACATCCGCGTTCACTTCAGCTCTAACCTGATCATAACCATGAAATGGCTGCTTATAGTACTCAGGTGTGTCCACCAGAGGGTCTGTCACTTCCTTCAGCAGAGGTCCCCAGCCATCCCATTGTTTTAATTCTTCAACCATTCCCCACCAGTCAAGGCCCATTGCCTTAGCCCTGTCCAGTATATCCTGTCGAGCCTGGGGCAAGGAAAAACACATGGGGCTGCTTCAAAATCAGGGGTTGTTGCTTCAGGTTTGTCAGCCAGCAATGCATCAACAATTTTACCACACATGCGATGGCAAATGGGCAGCCAGATCTTGTGGTCCAAGCTCGTACTTGGCAGCACCTGGCAGTTTGCCGAGTGTTATTGCATTGTCTCATTGAACAACCCATAAAGGCACCATGGGTGCATCATGTGTGGGATCGCCACAGCACTGTCACACCTTCCCCTTGACAGCTCGCCAAACTGGTGGGAACTTGAAGAGTGACTCCACAACAGACACCAGTGCAGGGCTGGCTGGGGCTGTAGTGCTGGCAAGAGCAGGCACAAGCAGGACAGCATTTCACACACACACACACACACAAAGGTGAGCAAGGGAATGAGCACCCTGCAAATGACCTGTGCCGCCTCATGGATGGAAATTTGCAGTGAATAGGATGGCAATGCTTGAACAAGATCAGTCAAAGAAACCATAAGAATGAATCATTTCAATCAAAACTTGATCTCTGCTCCACCGCGTTCACGAATTTTGACATGACACAAAGGTGATCTTCACAAGATGATGCGCCAAAAACTGTTTTGCTTTGTCCAAACTCCACTGCAGTCGTATTTCGCATTTCTGGTGTGCTCAAGCAATCCAGTGATACTTTGCCAGTTGGACGAAAGTATCCAATGCAGGATCACTGCAAGTTCTGAATCACACCTCGCAGCTGTCTGTCCATGAGCCCTGTGCGTCACCGGAGCACGGCCCGTTGAGCGTTCATGCACCTGAGGGCACAACACAATTGCAGGCACCTTCATACCACAAATTGCCAAGCTCTCATGGCGGTATCCTTGAAATCCAACCCAATTTCGGGCAGCGTACCAAGACGATTTGGCTGTACGAAGGATGCAACCCAGTTGGAGTGACACAGGCGATCAACACCCAATTATATGGGAGCTTAGGAGGAAGTCAGTCTTGCTGCAGTTCATGGACGATTGGCCTATGAATTCGCCAACGGCTGTGCTGTTGATGGTGTATAATAGTGAGTATCCAAGATGACCTGCCAAAGGCGCATCAAGTCATGCACAATTAAGGGAAGGGAATTCGCTGTTGTCCAGCAGCCCTTCAAGCACATGATGTTGGGGGATGCACATTGCTGAAATCATGGACCCAGCAGTCGAACATCACCAAATTAGTACACCACAAGCATCAGGCAGTAGACTGATAGCAATCCATGGTGATTGTGCCAATCAAGGAAGATAGATGTTCCGGCGTATCAAGAGCTGGTTGATGCAGATATTGCTTGATCTTGCCAAAAAAGGCTGGCTTGACAGCATTCAGTGCTTATGGCAATGATGGCCATGGATGCAGACCTCAGACTATCGTGCACCACAGCTAATAGTGACATGTTGACATTCTGCCAGTTTGGCTGAAGCTGCCGTTGCACTGTGCAACTGCGGCCAGGAGTTGGGCCCACAATGGAATGTGCAAATTTCGGTGTGCAGAATTTGTCGCCCGTTGCTGAAAGGCGCATAGACCGACGTCGCGTACGAATTGTTCACTGGCCTTCCTGAAAAGCGCCATTCAACTACCCGTTTGACAATTCGACATAGTCGCATGCACAGGAAGCGGCGCAAATTGGCGCTGCGCAACACTCTCTTCTGCGCGGAGAAGGAAACCAGCCGTTCAGCATAACGTGAAGGCGATGGAAACGGCATCTATGCATGCACGCATCTTGGCTACATCCTGCAGCGTGCCGCACGCTGCTCGCTGGACCACGGGCGCTCAATACCAATACCAGGCAGTGAGCGTTGGCGTCGACGCATTTGCATATCCAAAATGCAAGATTTTCACCCTGGGTCTGTTCCCATCAAGGATTTGACCAGGACGGAGTCCACAAACAGAAATCAACCGGGATGGGAACAAAAGTCAATGGCGACGGGGCAGCATCGAAACAATCGCATCTGCGTTCATCGGTTGCCATGAAGGCTTAGACAGCCAACGACGCGGCTGGTGCTCACCTTCCCGTGGAGGCTGCCAAGTGTGGGGCCGGGCGCCCCCCTCAGCGCTGGTGCTCGCACGGAGGCCGGCATCCCTGGAGGCGGACGGCTGCCCGGCAGCCTTGCGTCCGAGCCCCGGATCATGCACTTTGTGCGGGTGATTTTGGCAACAACACTGAGTCACACACCAAGAAATGTGCAGCTGGTCGCACTTTCGTACGTACTTTCGCGAAGACGGTGAAGACATAGTGGATGCGGTGAACACTGCAACGCGCAGGATGCCGACAACGGCCTTCCTGGGCAGCTTCCCATCCGGACGTACTGTCGGCTATGGTTCTCCAGGCAACCGGCTGTGACGTTTGTGTTTTCGGCACTCCTTTGGAGCGTCGACGACCACCAGGAACTGGTTAGAAAACTCCGTGTAGAGGTATTCTCCGGGCAACCGACCGTGACGTTGGTGTTTTCGGCACTCCTTCGGAGCGTCGACGACCACCGGATTGATGGCAGCGCCGCCGAACCAGGCAGAAATTTTGAAGACGGGGCTTGCCCGTGTTGATTAGATGCAGGTTCCCCTAGATGCACGGAGGGGCAGTGCCTGACCTGCCAAACTCCTCTCTGCTGGCACCGCCTCCTGTGCGAACAGTTCCGTGCGTCTATTTGCTTCGCCATGGGTGCGCTTGCAGCCCGCAAGCTGCGAGCCTTCTGCGACAATGGTCAGCACATGCGCACGCTCCTTGGGAACTGAGCCGGGAACAAGTATGATGGCCAGAGGTGCGTCCTTGCAATCCAGTAGTCCGCCGTTGCAAATCTAAAACAATTTTTTCTGGTCCAAGACCGAAAAGATGCAATCTTATGCGAGCATAATGGCGCTGAATTGGGCAAAATCACTGTTGTTGAATAAAAGCAAACTACTCGACCAGCATATTTTGCCGAACCCCCAATTTTTCCGACAACCTTCTTTAAACCACTGACAGTAGTTGATGTTGTGGGTACACCACCCGCCACAAGGCTGGGGAAGTCAGCAAGAAGCCTGGACAACCACCGGGCCGCACTGTATCACATCTACACGTATCGTATCGCATCGTATCGTATTTACGTGTGGGCTGTACGGACCGCGGTGCGATACCGTAGCTGCACCCTCACCCAGTGTGTTCCTCCACACAAAGAGGGGCCCAGCTGACAAAGTACCAGCCCCTCCCCACCCCCCACCCACCCACCCCGCAAAGTCCCTCTCTGCCCCCTCAACTAGGTGCTGGTGCGACGGGTGTCCTGCCTGCACCTGTGAAGACCAGCGAGAGAAAGAGATATTGCAGGAAGCGTCATTCTCCATTTATCTTTCAATGAGTGACTGTTATGTCCATGTGATGTTCCTTGGAAGCCCGCATGGACTGTCCACAGCACCAAGAGAGGCCTGGCTGACAAGGCACTTAGAAGCCCGCCACCACCACCCAGCAAGTCCCTCTGCCCCTCCTCCCTTCGCACTTGGACAACTAGATGCTGGTGCGGCGGGTGTCCTGCCTGCGGCGGCTGTACTTAGCGGGCGAGCAGGGCATCCGCGCGGCTGCCGCCGGCCTCCCCCGGCACACCTCTTCCTCCGGGCCTGCCTCAAACTCCCCGTTTCCTGGCGACGAGAGCAAGCCCCAGACCCCGTGGAACTACGGTGAGGCGTTGTTCCCAACAAACAGGCCAGCCTGGTGTGAGCGGGCACACGCATGTTCGTGGAATGTACTGTCGGTGGTCGGTGATTGTTGCCCGTACTTTCAGCGGTATGATTTTTTTGCGGCGGGGGATGTGTCAGGGGAGTGTTGTACGCACGTGGCAGTGTGGCTGGCACTGTGCCGTTTGGGAGCTTGTTTTCCGCGTAAGGTCCGGCCACGCCGAGGACAGTCTGCTGGAGGTGTGCCTGCAGAGATGAGGGTGAATCCCACCGATGCAACAGATGCGATTTGGCCCTGTTCCTGGGAAACGCATGCTGTTACTCGCGTTTAGGGGCCATGTTTGTGAACGACGGCTGCTTCGGTGATGAGGGCGCAGAGGGTGCCCCCTTAAGGGAGTTTTCGCTGGCAAGACTGTTTGAGATGTGTGTTGTGACTGTCGAAGGTGGTTGTTATGCCCTCTTACAAGCCATCCCTGTTGTGCTCGGAGACCTCTGCATCATCTTCCACAGCATGAAAAAGAGTTTCGCAGGAGTGATTGCTCAAGATCGGTTTGCCCTCCCCTCCTCACCTCCGAATCATTGTGTTGTTGCAGGTCAGTGGTCCGGCCCTCCTTCCACAACAGTTGTGGACCTACCACCTGGGCTCCGGCGCTTTGTGATTCCTCCACATGCAATACAGGAGCTTCCCACGGCAGGAATCATTCCAGGATTGCCATGGATAGATCTGCAGATGCCGCCAAAATCGGACTTTCTTGGTGGGTTGTGGCTTGATGGAGCATGGGATGACTGGGGTGAGCTGCATAGTTAGCTGATGGCCTTGGACTGGTGACAATCTGCTGATGGTCTCCAGTTATCATGATCCCGAACAGTGCGGGCGGCAGAATGCAGTAATGAAGTAAGTTGCTGCGCTAATGATTGCTGAAATGTCTCAGCACATTGGGGTGGTGCAGCATTCTTGCAAAATCACAAACTGCCCACTGACTACATTGTCAGCTGGCATCCTTGCCCACAGCCTTGCACACAAGCACAGGACCATGAAGGTTCTGCACTATTGTGTAATGCTCTGGATATATGGTTTTTAATCTTGTGGGCAGCCTGTCCCTGCATGTGTTTAAGTAGGACTGGCTGTCCTTGCCAGATGTGCAAAGACTGGTACCTTGCATGTGCTGATGTGGCAGCCGTTGAAATGTTGTGCTTGTTTTCATGCAGAGGAAGAGCCAGCAGGCAAGAATGGTCCTGAGGCAAACATCCCTGCAGCTGTTGAATGCATAAAGCGAACCTATCAACCCAGTGTCCTGGTTCGAAAGCGGCGCCATGGCTTTCTGTCCAGGTTAGTCTTGCTGGCTGTCACAGCCTTGGGACGCTTGCAGCCAAACGGAGTCAGATCTTCCCTAACTCTGTGGAGCTTACCTTTGTTGAGCGTACTCTTGTTAACTCCAGGCTATGAAGCTTTCAAGTGTGCTTGCATCTGGGTACATGAATGTAGGATCGATAACCAAAAGAGAAGAATTTACGTGCAGCATGGGGCTGATGAGAAGCTCCCTGTTACAAAGTTACCAGTATGTTACGTTGTGTCTTTCTTGGTGCGCAGCACTGAGTAACTGTGATGAAACTGTGATGACACAAGGGACATGTGGCCCGTATTGTCGACAGCTTGTGCCGTCATCAGAACTTTGCATGAGACAGTTGTTTGGGCTGGCGTTTCTAGAGTTCTTTTGTTTCTGGAGTTTCTGTGAGGTTGGAACTGGGCTCATACATTCGTTTGCATGCATTCAAGGATGAGGACCAAGTCAGGAAGGAGAGTTGTTCGAAGACGAAGGGCCAAGGGGAGATGGAATATCACAGCATAGGTGGACTTCTGGCAGCTGCTTGACCTCAGTAGGGCTGGTCAATGCACCCAGCCTGGGTTTCCTTGTGGAATTTATGGTTGGTTCGGCTGCTTGAACGGCACAGTTCCGGGACACTTCAGCATTGTGTCTGGTGGCTGTTTGAGGGCTTGATATTGCCAATGAGCAGCAGCAATATATGGCCTCCAGCGCAACATGTAAAGTGACACGTGCTCAGGATTTTCCCTGGCAGCATGTACGCTTTGAGCTGGCAGCAATGAAGTTGCACACCTGCGTTCCTGCTGTGCTGTAGGAGAGTTGCGGCAGTTTTGCTTTGCTTATAAATACGTCTATAATGTGTAGCAGCAGATTGGCCCTTGTTCAGGTTTGGGCAGTAATGAGGTCTGTGGGCTACACCCCCCACAATTCCCCAGTGGGTTCTTCCCTCGCCAAGCATTATAGAATTTTGCCTTCGCCTCAAGACTTGTGCATGAACTAAAGAACACTGCATCGGAGAGGAGAATTATTCAGCTTCTCCTTAAGATTAGGGCTCAAGTGAACAGTTTGGGACAATGTGCCAGGGATGCGCGTGCTGCCCTCCATCGGCCTGTGCAGGTGCCTGCGTGTGACTAGCCATGTTGATAAATGCAAGCAAAGTAATTACACCAAGTACCTCTTCTCAAAAAGCAAGCACATTTGCCACCACTCGAATTGGCATAGCCAAATCTACAGCTCCAACCCGAGGCCCTTGCCAATATTGATTCCCACCAACTGCAATATTCCCCTCCCTGTAAGAGCCTCAACGAGCATGATGCCAATGAAGCCGATCATCGCTGCTCGGCTATTTATGCGTTCGGCGTTCTCCACCCATCCAAACAATGGTTCAGAACTCTGCAGGCAACACAGCGTCCCATGTCAGATCCATAAAGTGACCTGAACTCAAGTTCAGTGCCAAGAGCTGGTCCTTGTCATGCAGGTCTCATCATGTATTTCTCCAACATCGTCATTGTGGGATGGAAAGCAGCTCAACGCATGTCCTCGGATAGGTAGGGAAGGACTGTATCTTCTGCTATTGTAGGAATCACTGCCAGCATAACATGACCAGGGGTGTCTGCCAGTAGCAATGCAGAAAACGGACATACTGCATTAAGAATGGTGGCGCAGGAGAAGGCTGCATGATTGCCATCTAGTCAGAGGATGTAAATTCGTTTCTTTCTGTTTCATGCCCTTCCATTTAATGCACCTCTGGAGACGCGACCTTGAGGCAACGTAAGTTTGCTTTGACCAACGTCCGTCACCGACCGATGGGCGCAGCGGCAGCGCTTTGTCGAATTTTTGCGAGTCCTTTTCCTGCAGGACGTCCACGCCGCTCGCCGGGCAAAGCAAACAGCGGATGCTGGCAGCACAAACACCAATACCACAACGAAACGGTTCGCTGCTCAGCTTAGTTTCACAATTCAACCCGGAGAAGGTGGCAACGGCTGTTGGGGAAGGGCTCCACCAGCACAATACCGCAGCACACTGCGCAATCGCTGGCCGACGATTGTCGCATCAATTCGCTCGAGCCCCCGGCGCACGGCGAACGCCAAACACTTGGCTCTGGGACGACTCGCGGCCGGTGTCGCGAGGCAGGCCGCCCTCTCAACGGCCTCCCCCCGCCCATGCCGCACAACGGGCACCGACAAAGGATAGAAAAGACAGAAGAAGAGCTGGCGCTGGACAAGGGCAGAGATGGACAGAAGAACTGGGGCTGGAACAGATAGAAAATGATAGCAAGAGATAGTCAAAGATAGCAAAACACAGCAAAACATAAAAAGAGATCCAGTCCCACCTCTGGTTGGACCGGCGGCATCGTGGCGCCGCTCGGCAGCTTTGGCGTGACCACCTCCACCGGCTCCGCCTCCTCCTCCTCGTCGCCCCCGAATCCGAAGAATCCCGCCCGCGGCTGCCGTAGCCGCGACGCCCGAGCCGGGATTGGCCGAAGCGCCGGCAGGGTCGGCATGCCCCGCGGAGGGATCGCGCACCCAATCGCCGAGAGCCGCTCGACCTGCATGGTGGGGGCTGCCGACGGGGCGCTTGGCGACGGCGGTCGGCGAGCGGCCTGCCAGGGGCGGTTGGCAGGGACGATCTAACCCCAGCCGCACACAAGTGCGCCTGCAGGGCTACGCTTGCTCTGCTTGCTGACGTTCGCGGTTGCCGAGTCCGTGGATTACCCAGTACTACTTAAGTACTGCTCTTGCAGTCCTACTTAAACACTCCGCTTGCAGTTCTACTTGGGTGCCGTGCTGGGCGAACTGGAGGGGTGATGGTTCTTGTGGAGGAACGGGGAGGCGACGCTGCCGTTCGCCTAGGGGACTCCTCGGGGTGGCTCTAGTCTGGCGAGGGAAAAAGGGGGCCAAACTGGCCGCGGGCTTTTCCCGCGGGCTAGCGGGAAAGGGGCGGGGTTGCTGGACGCCGTGGCGCCCGACGCCGGGCGGCCGGCCGAACCCCATGCCGCCGCATGCCTCGCTCCCGTCCTCCAAATCGCCCGCCCTAGAATTCGAGGTGCTGGCCACGGCCGGTCCCGCCAGGACGGCCCGCCTGAGCCTCCCGCACCACGTGTGCGAGACGCCGATGTTCATGCCCGTGGGCACGCAGGGCAGCGTGAAGGGCCTCACAAGCGGCCAGCTGCAGGAGCTGGGCTGCCAAACCATCCTGGGCAACACCTACCACCTGGAGAGCAGGCCAGGGTCGGAGCTCGTCGCAGAGATGGGCGGCTTGCATGAATTCATGAATTGGCCCAGGGGGATGCTCACGGATTCAGGAGGGTTCCAAATGGTGTCGCTGCTGCACCTTGCGGACATCCAGGAGGAAGGTGTCGAGTTTCAGTCTCCCACAGACGGATCGAGGATGCTGCTGACGCCCGAGGCCTCGATCGCGATCCAGAACCGACTGGGCGCGGACATCATCATGGCGCTCGACGACGTCGTGCCCGCGGTGGCCCAGAGCGCCGAACGATTCAAGGAGGCCACCCACCGAACCACGCGCTGGCTGGACCGCTGCATCGCCGCCCACGCCAGGCCGGCATCCCAGTCCCTGTTTCCGATCGTCCAGGGGGGCATGGACAGGGATTTGCGCGAGATCAGCTGCAGGGAATTGGCGGAAAGATCGACGCCGGGCTACGCGATCGGAGGGCTGGTCGGCGGCGAGGACAAAGAGGACTTCTGGCGCGTGGTGGCGCAGTGCACGGCGGCTCTGCCGCCAGGCAAGCCGCGCTACGTGATGGGTGTCGGGTACCCACTGGACGTGGTGGTCTGCAGCGCGCTGGGCGCCGACATGTACGACAGCGTCTACCCGACGCGGACGGGGCGATTCGGTGCGGCGCTCACTCACGATGGGCCGCTCAGACTGAAAAACGCAGCCTTCGGTTCCGACTTCTCGCCCCTTGACCCGGATTGCAGCTGCATGGTCTGCGGGACGTATTCCAGGGCCGCGCTGCACAGCCTGTTTGTCAAGGGCACCCCGGTGGCCTGCAGGCTGATCTCTTACCACAATGTGGCGTACATGATGCGCCTGACAAGGGAGATGAGGGAGGCGATCGCGGGGGGGAGTTTCGAGGGGTGGGTGCGGGGGTTCCTGGGGAGGCAGTTCCCACGGGGGGACGTGCCGCCGTGGGTGGTGCACGCCATGGAGGCTGCTGGGATAGACATAGGGTGAGGGGCAAGTCCGTCGCCCAAAAGCAAAGGGGATGTGCCTTCAGTGGAGCCTGGGGGCCCAGCTGCGGGCCTCAAGGCGCTCCGCCCCCTGCCCGGTTTTCTGTCTTCTTGAAAACTCTGGAAATTGCCAACAGCGCTTATTTTTATTTGCATTGTTCCAGGCCTCGAAGAGGGCAGCGCTAACATCGATCTTTGTGAATCTCTGCATTAATGCAGTTGTCGCAATCAACAGAGCACTGGCCTCGCGTTTCATGGGCGACCACGGGACTTGGCTCAAAGCAGCAACTCAACCTGTTTGTCCTTTTGGTGATTGCTGTGCTACGGGGTCCAGACGGCGCGCCCGTGCTCCCTGGACGTTCTGGTGAGGCAACTTTGCAGCCTTTGTCCAATTTCGGGGGCGGCAGGTGATGAGACCAATGTGCACAGCACACTGGCGACCAAGACACAGTGGCGGAGGAGACACAAGGATGGCAACAACTGTGATTAATAATGTTCAGTGATCTCCCCACAGGGAGGACAATCATTGGCAATGCCTGCTGCGCCAAGCGGACGCGTCTACCCCGTCCACAGGCACAATCCCATTGCCACACCTTCCCTCAGTCTGATTTCTTTCGCTTGTCAGTTCGCAACCGCAAGCGGATACTCCAAACGGCCATGGTTAAGGAAAACGCCAGTGCAGAACTTGACCAGAAGATGATGACGCCTGGTGGCCATGGAGCTGTGAAGAGGCCCTTCCCAAACTTGATGCACACCAACGCCTCCACGAGGCTTGTCTGCAGAGACCGGCACAAGCGAGTTATATTCCAAAGCATGCATGATCAGTTGCAATACAGGGACACAACCCAGGGCCGGACACCAAACCAATCTGCTGTCACTAAGTTCTCCAAGAGTTGACACTGGATGAGGTTGTCGGCACTATTTTGATATTGTTGATACTATCCTGATAACATTGGTATTGTTTGAAGAGACAGACGACACAGACCCATTCCGTTCTTGAGTTCAGTGGTGAACAAAAAGATGGCCTGGCATAGAAGCCCCCTCCATGATTCTTTTCTGCTGTGACGATTAAAAGACAATCATGGAATTGTAAGCCGCACAAATTTTTGTTTACAACTGCAACGGTTAGCGGCAGTGGGCACACTGCCGAAGCATCACACAGATTGAGCAGTTGGAGCTCTGTTAACGCCTTGGAACGCGCACTGGGTAAGCGTGTCAAGCAGAGAGCCCGCTGCACACGAGCCTTGTGCGCACCGCTACACATGCTTTCCAGGGAGCCCGTTGAAATCAAGCTGTCGTGTGCACTGCTACAAACGCATTCCAGGCAGCATTGGGATCAATTCGTACTGCTGACAGAGCGTTCCACCATGCGCACTCCAGCTGCTCTTCCAAGGCACATGCTACAAAAGACTTTTGTTAGGACAGGGACTGCACCTGTAATACGATGCAATACGATGTAACATCTTGTACTTAAAAAGAGCCACATACTGCAGACTGGACACTTCACATCTGCGAGGGTGCGACTGCTTCAGCAAAGGGAGCAGGAGAAGCAGGTGCTTGGTGGCTGAATCACACACTCTGCCACTCCCTTTGTCACGCACAAAGATCAGGATCCACCGCCCTCATTCAGCAATGCAATGTTTGGTTGCACACAGGTCTGGAGCCAGTATGCCAACGGGCACAGCACAATCTTCGTGTTGATAGTCCACGTAATCTGACCAGCAATAGCAACAAACAGAACTCACCGCAGCGGCGAGCCATGCGAAGGCTCCAAGTTTGTTAAAGATGGTCCCTTCAGGAGCCTTGCCCTCAAGAAATTCGTAGTACTCACGGACGGCAGGAAGCCCCACCATAAACCATATGAGAAGGCGGTATGTGTTCAACAAGTTTCTTGGAGGGACCCACAGGATGTACTTGAGGAAGAATGCTTGTACCTCGATGGCAAGGAAGACAGCCACCATGGTGAAAACTGCGATGCACCGTGCCGGACCTGGCCAAGGGGTATGTACATACAGAAATTGTCATCACGTTCACCAAAATACTGGTGCTTGGGTGGGTAGGAAAGGCAAATCGGCAACACTGCACAGCTTCTGCCAACGACGAACCAAATAGACAGCTGCTGCACAACTTCAGGCAAGCTCCCTGCTGCTGCAATTTCTAAGCCACACAGTGCCAGCATGTCATGCAGCACACCATTGTGAGACCTAAATTATGGCAACCTGTGCACGTGCCTTCACAGGTGCACTCCTGAAATGGAGCCAAGTCAATTCCCTAATCAGTCCATCGCAGCATTCTAATCAGTAAGGCTGGAGGCCCACTGCGCAATCAAACCAACCGGCCCTTTTTGCTGTCAATATATCACCCGCTGTACCAAATCTCAATATAGAATGCTGAAAGGCTCGTAATTGCCAACCGCAATTTTCTTGCCCATGGCTCAGAATCCTAGGTCATTTCCAACGTCTGACATGTGTGATATACCCAAGTGGCCATGCGGTGTTTGACCTGCCTGAGTACATTCCCCAATCAAAATTGTCCCAGGAGTGTGGAAGGAACTGCAGAAATGACCTCTTTGCCTAAGCACACACAGAAACATACCAACACAAACTCAAGAACCAATGCACAACTATTTGCAACACAAATCCTGATATAAAAAAGCCACAAAAATCGCAAGAATAGCTTGCAGTGTCCATAAATAATCCCATTAGACATTCCCACTGCAACCCCATTTGCGAGATCCTCAGTGTAGCTTCTCCAATTTGCAGCCCATGCATGGATATTCGAAGATGCAAGCTACAGCACAATTGCAACTGCAGATTATGCACATGAACTCTGGGAATACAGCGTCCTGTGCATGCTGTTTGGGACGCTATACAAAGCATCACTGCAATAGCACAATAGTAGAGGCATGCCTTGTGTTGGTGTTCATTCTGTTAAGGATGCACTCAGTCACTCATTTTCGGGGTTCACGGGCACCAGGTTGCCAGCCAGCCTGAGCATATCCCACAAGGCAGGATCGCAGAGAAACAGCAGGTTTTATTCCTCTGCACCTTCTATGTCATAGATAACGAATTGCAAGCATGCTGTCACAGCCACCCCAGACCACACAAAAATCCTAACGCCAAACTGCAAATCAAGGTCAATACAGGAGTTTGCAGTGCCAATCAGGTCAAAATGAAAGATGAAACCAAAGGTTCCCATCCAATGGATGCCATGTGACTGGGGATGCACTACCTTTCGCATGAACAGCTTATAGGGGGTGACAATCGCATGATGGGCAACACAGTGACCCACTCGACGATTCAGTCAGCAGGCCCATGCCTGGTCCACTGCCCACCTCCCGTCAGTGAAGCTCACCTTAGCGACTAGTGTTGGCTGCTCGCTGATCCCTCTCCAGTTGTATGTGCTGTATGCACTGTCAAAATAACGCACAGTCCACATACCCATAGCAATGCCTGCATGTAAACATGACGTGCTGGATGAGTATCTGCACTACCGATACCTAGCTCCTGCAGTCCACAGGCCCACCAGCCCTTTTGACAGGCTGTTCATTCAGAACAGGTTGTCCGCTGCTACAACATACAGCATCGAAGGAAATCATCGTTCAGCACGTTATCGAACACATGTATCAAGCACTGTTCGTTGTACAAAGCATCCACTTTGTTACAGATGGTGACTGTCATGCGCATTGACACCACAGAAGTGCGCACGTTGCTGGACAGGCAGAAGTTGCATGCAGTCACACCACACTCACCCAACAGGTTGCATGTTGCAACATCCAAGATCCAGCTGTCCCACCAGCACTCGTTGAAGTTTGGCAACATATGCTGCAAAAATGATCCAACATCAAAGATTCGAAGTCTTGCGGAGCCATTCAGCTCCCAGTCTTACACCACTTTCAATGCAAAGGTGGAGCTTAAATTTGTCCACACCAATACCAGGGATCCAATGCCCATTGGGAGCCAGAGGTGCAGTCTTGTTGCCCAAGGCTATCTGTCGTACAGGGATGCCATGCCCACTGGATCATATATTGAAGATAGTTGGAGATTGTGGGGACAGGGGTCGAAAATTGACTCACATTCTACTTGCATGTATGCTTGGTGCTACGTACCTGAAAGGTCAATTCCAACAGCTCAAACCCAATGGACAACACCCAAAGGAGGGAGTGGTTTCTTATCATCACAGCCTTCGCCCACCATCCCAAGATATGGGCCACAACAAACTCATCAAGCACCGTCTCACGAATTGCACCCCAGTTTATGCCCTGCCCTTCAATCCACAGTTGGCAATTTCCACCATAGGGACGCTCAGGCTCCTCCACTCTAAGCTCTCCTGACAGGTGCTGCACACAGAAAATGCCGATCAAGCCGGCAGGCAGGACGCCAGCCTGCCAAGATGGCAAGCAACAGGATGGGTAGCCAAATCATGTTGCAAGAGGTGTGCACTAAACAGCAAGCTGAAATTGATTGTACTGACCTAAAAGCGGCAACACATACTCTCCTGACCTATTAGGCGTGTTGGGCATTGCTTGGACCAGGTGCCAGAAATTGGGTCATGCGTAGGTCCCCTAACATGTGTCATGCACAGCAAGCAGCTTGAACTGACCAATCTTTGACACCAACAGTCAGCAGCAGGTGCAGATTCATGCAGAATTGAAAATAGAATAGACAGGCACTGTTTCTGGGCGATGATCAACATTCTGGTTGAGAGTACACCTTGTCCGGATTGCGATGCCTACCTTCATAAACAGTCTTGCGTCACCGACATCCTGGAAAAGCAGCCAAACCATAAACATAAGATACATCACAGACACTGCGTTAGCAAGCCGCCAAAAGGAGGGGTGTGGTCTGATCATTGTAGTGCTGGGGCTCTGTAGAACGGAGTAACCTAAAACCCACAAAAAGTACCCACCAGGGCATCTGTCACCAAAACGTTCTTTTCCATCAGCCATTTAGTAGCAGTGGGATTACATATTATGGACACGGCACACTTGTGTTTGGGAAGCAATGAATGAATGGCAAAACTGCAGCAGCCAAGGGCTGAAAAAACTGTGCATTCTGCTCTCTTCCGCTGCCCATGGGTTGACCACACCCAAGAATGTGTTGGTTACATCACCCAAGAATAATCTGCATCCCAGGATCTCCTGTCATCGCTATACAAGTGCAATAGGTATGTACATTATCTTTTACTTTTAGGAAAATTCAAGCAAACTGACAGTCTCTATGATAGTGCCCTATTGTCATGATTCAGAAGACACTGTCCAAAGCCTGTCAGCTCGAGCAACGGGGCTGCAACCAAGGAACTTCAAGAGCTTCTTGCTCTGCCACAGGAAAGGCAGACTGCTGGGTCCATGATAAATAATCGCCGCAAGTCCCAAATCTGTGGAACTATTTTCAGTGTACACCCATTCAACAGATACAGAGGCTCACAATTGGGAAAATTCCTTGTCAATTCTGGGGGGCATCAGTCCTCCCAGGACACTACCCCAACTGTCTTGTTGAGCAACAAAATGGGGATGGAAGTATCGTCGCGATCGCCTTGTAGGCGCAAGGGTGGAGCACATTGTCACATAAACAAACAAGGGGGGAGAATGCCGTGACATGAAGACAGAGATAAACAACTGGTCCATACCTCCCCCCACCTACCCATAAACACAAACATCACAGCCCATATCCCTCGCTTCGCATTCGCGGTCGAGAACTCCCGCCGCGCCCCCTCGTCCTCGGGTGGCACTGGAACATCGAAGACCCCGCTCGTGTACACGATCAGGCCAATCCCTTCCAAAGCACCCTCCCGGTCAGCGAAGCCCATCTGCATCGCCTCCTCCGCCAATCCCGGCGGTTCTCCCAACAGGGCAAACAGATCACACACCGGGAACCCTAACCCCGAAGAAAAGCACACAATGCTCTTTCCCACGCCGTGGAATCATAAGTTATATGGAATCCTAAGTTCGTTCACGGCGCTCAACAATGGCATCCATTTCCGCCGCGAGAGAAAGGGCCAGCTCTATCACAGCGAACAGCAATCCCCGCCCGTCTCTTGCGGCCTTGATCTGGACGGCCCACGGCCTTCAATCTCCCAGTGCCCACATGCGCCCCTGATCCAGTTTGGGCCAAAAGGGGCGCTCACCCAGCACCAGGCACGTCACGGTGTGCGGCGTGTACAAGAAGGCAGTCTTGGGGTCCAGCTCCCGGAGCGCTGGGTGCCGGCTGTTGGTCTTCACCATCGCCCGGTCCGCCATCTGTCCCTGCTGCACGGGGCCCTGGCCAAAGGGTGTTCAAAGGCGGGAAGCCCCAGGGAGTCCAGCATGACATACTGTGGGATGCCCCATGGAGCGTGGCATATTCGAAGGAACGTGCGTCGGAATGGCAAGCGGGGGAGAAGGCGGGCGCAATTGCAATGAGTGCGGGTGGGTGGGTCGCTGGCAGCGACCCCTTCTGAACAGGCTTGCCGGAAACCCGGCAGTTGTCTTGGTCCATTAGTGCGCGATCACCTTGGATGCGGCCTTCGGTTTGGAGTGCCGTGAGCTTCGGTTCACCGATTCTGGTGCGTTCCAGCGAAAGAGGGAGGTCATGGCTGCCTGCTGGTGCAGAAGTTTGATGTTTCTCCACGGGCCAATTGAGCCCAGCAGTTGAGGCAATGGGTGCTGTTTGCAGGCGCCTGAACCCAGCTTGCGAGTTCAGCCAAAATCGACATGTGCCAAGAAGAAGCAAGGAAGAGTTTTAACACCAAGAAAGTGGAGCAGCAACGCCAGAAACGCCAAAACAGGCCAAAACCAGCCAGAAGGGCTATGTTTGTTTTCAGAGGCAGGCTAACACTGGCGTCACATAAATGAGTCGTCACGTGCAACACGTCGTGCGCGATGCAGTGACCCAGGAGAGTTGTGATGTCTCGAAGACGGCGGATTTTGCAAATCAATTCCAAGAATATCTACCTGAAGATTTCCGACAATGACTCTCAACCCATCTCTCGCATGCATGTGAGTAAATGTTTTGAAACAATACACGTGTTTCGCCACACGTTCCCAAGGACATGGCCCACAACACGATGCCACCAAAACGGTGCACAGCCCTGCACGCTGAAGCCGTGTTGTGGGGACCAGATGAACAAATGAACATCTTGACGACATCTTGCAATGGTATGGAGACACTGGCTGTCCCTTCTGTAATTCAATCCTTCCCGCTTCCGCTCTGTCGCTCACGGTACTGTGAGCTAGTGTCAACAGAGATTCCTCGCTGGTGTGCCAGGTCGTAGACGTCATCCTCAAATTTTGGTGCCGTTTGCCAGTCGCCAGTCGCCGCTCGGCCGCAACACCGAGTCCCTTCCTCGGACATCCAGGCACCCATGGCGGCAGACGAACAGCGGTGGGTTCGCTTGACCGCCGCCAGACTCTGCCCATGCGTGCCCGCTGGTGGCGGGCCAACCCATGACTGCAAAACCCATGACACGCATTGCTGTCCCGCAGGAGAAACACACTGAAGATCCTGATCGCCACGGACAATCACTTGGTGGGGGGCGTTCTGAGCCGTCCAGCCGGCCTGCGGCCGCGTGGAAGGGCCCCCTGGTGACTTTGCAGCGCGTGTGTGTGGCAGGGCGTCTGGGAAAGGGACAATGTTCGGAGGGACGACTCCTTCGACGCATTCGAGGAGGTGTTCGAGATGGCGCAGAGGCTGGAGGTGGACTGCGTGCTGCTGGGTGGCGACCTGTTTCACGAGAACAAGCCGTCGCGTTCGACGCTGATCAGGGCCATGGGCACGCTCACGAGGCACTGCCTCAGCGACAAGCCGGTCAATTTCCAGGTGCTCAGCGATCAGTCGGCATTCGAGCGCAAGTAAGTGGAGGCGCGAAAATGGGAAAAAGAAAGCGAGGATTGTGGCTGGGCGGGGGTAGTGAGGTGCCTGGGGCTGGAAGGAGGAGAGAGGATGGAAAACGGGGCGCCCCACCCAAACAGAAGCGTTTGAAACTCTGCAGGAGATGATCCCTGCAAAGGGCAGTGTGCAATGCTCTGATCGTATATGTCTATGATCGTATGAGAAGAAAGGCAAAAGAAAGCGAAGCGTGGCGCCAAGATGGGTCGAAGGGGGCGCTGACCGCGGCTGGCGTGACGACGCAGGTGCGTCAACTTCGAGGATCCCAATCTGAACATCGGCATGCCGGTGTTCACCATACACGGGAACCACGACGACCCGTCAGGGGACGGCAACTTGTCGTCCGTGGACGTGCTGTCTTCCTGCGGCCTGGTGAACTACTTCGGAAAAATGGTGTGCGCCTGGGGCCTGGTCTATGTGTCCTGCCTCACCCCTCCAGCCAAAAGCAGTCAAATTAGTCAAGTCAAGTTGGTCATGTCTGTCAAGTTAGTCATGAATCTGTTGCAATGGGACATGTGATGGGAAAATGTAGAGTGAGTGGAATTCATTGCTTACATTTTGTCACAACATACGACGAAACAAGGGCCTTGAACCTGGGGAGCCACAACGGGCACAGCAGAATCCATCCAATCAGCGATTGTTCGTATTGAAAATGGTGTCCAAGTCCATTGATTACACACCTGGCACAACGCAGCAAAGCAAAGCAAGGCCCTTTCACCAAGCTGTCGATGTCAGGCCAGAAAATGCTGTGTTCCTGGGGTCATGCGCGTCCTCTCTGCGCAGGAAAATCTCTTGTCTTCAATTTGATTGAGGATCTAACAGAACGCCACCCCACTCAGTATGACAGATCGTATCTTGTTTTGTGCTGACAATGGGTCTTCAGTCAACAAGTGCTTGCCACACAGACACTGGGGGGCTCCCAAGGACCGGGGAAAATTCGACTGGCACCTGTGCTCCTGCAGAAGGTGAGGCAGACACTGATTCAGTCCAATTGAGGGATGTTATTTTGTCACTTGTGGACATGTCATCTTCGACGAAATGATCATCTTTGGGACGTGTGAGTCGTCGAATTGGAGAACAACATGGGAGATCCCTTTTGCAGGCCTGTATGACCACAGGCCAGGGCAAACATTGCTGCAGACCGCAAAGCTGGCAGCACAAAGAACAACCCCTTGCCCAACCCCCGTCAAAATGTGGAGTGTTTGAGATTCGCCTCATAGGGGCATCTGTGCACAACAAGAAAATGACATTTGTGAGAGTGAATTGTCCAGTAATGCGATGAGAGAAGGCTGCTGCCCAGTGTTGATTGCAGCTTCATAGCTGTCCAAATGAATGCGAGTTGACTCAGTTTTTGCACTGGCACAATCACCATGTGCCGGTTAAGTGATGAATGGGTGCTTGGCATGCTCCAGGGATCAACAAAGGTTGCATTGTATGGCCTTGGCCACATCCGTGATGAAAGACTAGGAAGGCTCTTTCAGACGCCTGGCTGCGTGGAGTGGTAAGCTTGCCCACTAGATGCCCTATCCCTTGAAGGATGCAAAGGCATGAATGGTTGCAATGTATGCAGCAACGACTTTGAACAATGTAGTCTGTTGTCACTGTTTTGATTCCATTATTCAGAAGGCAAAAGCCACTTATATTGTCTACTAATAACTCTATTGTTTCCAGGCAGCGACGTGCAGAATTGGATCCATGAATTGAAATTTTCACAATCTGTGTACAGCCCATTCATGCAGATTGAGGCCTTTTCCATTGCCTGCACTGTGTGTTGTGCCTCAGGATTCGTCCAAAGGAGTCGCCTGGATACCCCACTGACGACTGGTTCAACATTTTTGTTCTCCACCAGAATCGAGTGCAGCATGGACAGCATGCTAAGAACTGCATTCAAGAGAAATGCCTAGCCAGTTTCCTGGATCTTGTTATCTGGGGACATGAGCATGAGTGCATCCCTGAACCACAGGTGAGAGAATCCACTCATTGCCGTTGCCTCAATTGACAAGCACTACCCACGCATGCACAAACAGATGTGCTGTATTTCGTGCCAACCTGCCCAAACATCAGGTGCGTTTTGTGCCCAATTTCAGTTATAACATGCTTGGCAAAACATAGCAGGACAGTCGCTGTCACCAAGCTGGCGATGTTGGGCGATGAACGCAGCTGCAATGAGATTTATGTGTGTGCAACTGACAAGTTCCACCACAGTAGCACTTTGCATATTGCTGAAAATGGATATGAGGATATGATGGTGCCCACATGTGTGCGAATCGGTGGCCCCTGTCTTCCGCATCGCCTGATTGTTGGTCCACAACAGTGACCCTATACACCTCTGAACCAATCTGAACCATAGTCATTGTGTGCAAGCGTACCATTTGCACTGATATAGTCAGTCTTTGTAGTGCTGGCAGTGTACATTTTACTGCCATTTTTGCTTCAGTCCGAAACAAACCACACATGCCATTGTATCCAAACTGAGTGTGTCTGGCAAGCTGCAGAGGGGTCGCTGCCCAAAAGAAATCCTTTGATTGCTTTCTCTTCATGGGGCAAGCACAATGTCCTGCACCGTGTACTGTGAAATTTTGCTTTGCCATTTGTGCATCTGAACTGTTGCTCCTTCCCCATCTCATTAGTCAGGGCTCCGCTAGTCACAATTTGCACAATTGGCCACTCAATGAAACTGAAAGAATCGCATTTCCAGACCATGATAGCAGGTTTGCAACACATGGGTGGCATGCTTTCTGTTCTTTCAGTGCAGAATTCCAAAATCCCCTTGTCTGGTAGTGTGGCTTGGTGCAGTGCACCTGTTGCATCATGTTGTCGCCCTGATAGCACAACTCAAGGTGCGATCTTCAACAGCAGGAAGAACTGGGCAGCTGATGGATGCATTAATTGAGAAGAACAGCAATCGGAAACTTAGAAGATGCCAGACCTGTCTTCCATTGTTGGAATTATGCCCTTGGATGTAGCCAAGGGGACGAGTGCCATGTGCTCATATCCCTGCGATGCTCACCAGGCCATTAACAGCACACACTCCATTGCTGAAGGAGGTTTGGACAGTGAGTTGTTGAGTCCATGACGGAAATATGTATCTGACACAGGAGAGCGCAGTTGGAAACTTCTCAATTTTGCAGCCAGGATCATCGGTGGCGACAGCTCTCAGCGAAGGTAACCTGTGTTGGAAAACAGTGAAGTGGGTGCATGTCCATGAGCGGTTGTGACTGCAGCAAATCGCCATGGAATGCAAGTGCCTTTGTCATGCACTGCTGGTATACATCAGCGACTTGCTGTGCACTTTTCCGCCACACTACCCCACGCTTCATGCACCTGGGCGTTGCAGAATCACACACTTTGCAGGCGGTGGGAGTTCTAGTTGAAGTATGTGCGTGTTGTGGACGGCAATAATACACTAATGCTGCCTGTTTGTCATCGTGTTCCTGTCCAGGATACCCCTGTGCAAACATGCCTGTGCTTTTGCCCATATTCTGGAATTTTCGCTTTGCAAGAGCAGGTGTAAAATTTGCTCATTTCCAAGAGCGGCAGTGGGTGGAATAATTGCAGGAAGAATCAGCGGGATAATGCGCAAGGGAATTGAATGGCCAATCATAGGTTTGCTCTCAAGGGCGTACCAGATCCAGCCTGTTTGTTGCACCATTTAAATGGAATGGGATTCCTTTTGACAAGGAAAGTCTTGAAGTTCCAGTAATGGCGAGGGGATGTGCTCTGGTTGGCTGCTGATACGACTGGAACACAGACGGTCCCCATCAAATGCTACACGCGTGATGACTATCCTGGTGTGGAGAATTGCACCAGTGTGTAGACGGCTTTGAACGCTTGACAGGCATTGCCAGTGCCGAGCATCACATGAACAGCACACCGCACTTCATCTCACGCACATTTGCACCAGCGCTTGCTTCCATTCACAGTGCACATGCAGGACTGTTGCTACACTGTGCTGCTTACAATATTCACTTGCCATGCAGCCACGGCTAGGGAAAGCCCAGTCTATTGCAGAGATGTTATTTCTGTTGTTGATCTGGCTGGAGCAGTGGACTGGATAGTCATTGGATCGCTAACTTTCTGATGTAAAGCATTTGTATCAACACATGCTGAGGGCCATGTGCCTGAGACTGCGCCACAGGTGAATCCAAGCCCAAGCACGTGTTTGTACTGGATATTCTTGGGGATAAATGGAGGACAATGAGGCATGAAATAAAGAGTGTAAGGCCCTATGAATTTGCTCAGGTGACTTTGGCAGATCAGATGGAGGTGGATTGCCAAAACCAGGACAGCATAAAGAAATTCCTTGAGCGGCGAGTTGAACAGATGCTGGAGAAAGCTTTGAAGGACAAACCCCCTGCCAAACCTGGGCAGAAGCCGCTGATTCGCCTCAGGGTGGACTACACCGGGTGCTCCACAATCAGCTCGCAGATATTTGGTCAAATGTTTGTGGGAAAGGTTGCGAACCCACATGATTTGCTGCTGTGGACACGGGCATCCAAAAGGAACAGGTCCGTTGTGAATGCTGTACATTTCCATTCAACTGGCAGGGAGAAACGCTCGGGGCCAGTTGTGTCTGATAGATGCACATCTTGATCTGCATCTTATTTTGCTTTCCCTGTGGCGCTTTTCCACAACATAGATTTATCCGATTGATCACAGGCCGCCCTAATGCTTTGATGGGAATTTGTGAACAACCTTCCGAACAACCTCCTCCCTATCAGTTCCTTGGCAACTGTGATGCATTAATCCTTGAGGGCAATTGTCAGCAGACGGCAAGGATGGTTGCTCTGTTCGTGTTGGAGCAGTTTGGCCGTTGTTGCTGCCAGCATAACCCCTTTGGAATCACCGATTGTGATCCGTCAGTTGTTTTCATTAGTCGTTTTGTGCATATTGGGCGGTGTGGATTGCTTGTTGGGCTGCAACCGTTGAGGTGTCTGTGTTGTGCGCCAGGGATGCGGTGGTGGAGGACAATGCGCTGGGGAGTTACGTGCGCCCTGAGGAGCACGATCAGGATCGAATAGATGAGCTGATTGTTGCAACCCTTCAACACGACCTAGAAATCCTTCCAGAGGACGAGCTGGCCAACGCCCTGCGCAACTTTGTAGATAAGGACGAGAAGGCATGTTTCTGTTTTCGCATCTTTGCAGTGTGCGTAATCTTGCGGTTTCATTCGCACAACAAGGCAATCGGATGGAATGAGCTTGGGCACTTGGAAGGCAATGAGCAGCCCAAGGGCGAGGTCATCATTTGTTTTGAGTCATTTTGTTGATCTTCCCTTGTTGCCCACATGCCTAAAGTGTAGTCAGCAGGCCGTACAACCTGGCACAAAGGCAGAAAAGAAAGAATTTGTTGACACGAATTGTTGCGTAGAATTCCCACTTTGTATGCCAGCCCTTGTCCACCATTGAGGAGAGCATTGCTCTATGTTGAGGGTGTCTGATTTATTGGAGTCCTGCTATTGGACGAATTTGCCTCTGGGGCGCTCCTAGCGGCTGCACGCGGCAGTGCCTTGCACTGACGTGAATCTGGTGTTGACAGTGGTGCAACAGGATTAGTTCGTAGTTGCTTTGCTACCAGAACATAGGATTTGTCAATTCTTATCGGCCAGTGGCGTGGTACAATGCTCCAGCACGGCATTACTGTTTTCAATACAACGTAGGATTAGCTCAGTTAATTTAATTGGTTCATTGCCATTTTGAAGATTGGCCCTTCTTGTATGGGCCGCGGCTGCCAGCATAGTGCATGGTTGTGCCGTCTGCTTACAGGACAACCAGCACATTGCCTTGAAGTCCACACAGAGGCGAAAGATTGTATCTGATCGAATGGCCGGGCTGTTTGTACACTTGTAGGGTGCCCTTGCTGCCATGTACAATGCGTCTCTGGCCGAGACACAGAAGGCTGCCATTGCCAGCGATGCGGCGCGTGCCATAGAAGATGAGCAGCATGTGGGTGACGTCATTAGCAAGCAAGTAAAGCAGAGACAGTCCAAAAAGGTGAGAGAGCAGAGTTGGCCAGTTGATGGCGTGCACCAAAACTGACGGAGCAATGCTTTGCGCCTTCAAGGTAATGGCACAATCCAAGGCAGTTCTAAGGCAATAAGGTAGCAATACATCTTCAAGGTAATAATGAGGTAATTCCATCCGAAGTAATACTACATCTGTTCAAAGGATTTTCGCTTCCCTAATTCGAGCAAACGGGGGTCAAAACGTGCGAGTCAGAAAACTCGACCAAAACAATTTTGACGCGCCACGTTGAGAGCTATCCGTGGAGCCCTCAAACGTCGCAATCGGTGCCGTCGTTGTTGCAATACGTGAGGAAGAGGTAAAATGCGACTTTTCGTGTTCTTGGGACATTGGGCGGAGCATGGCGACCTCATCTTGCCCTTCAAAGTAGGTGGATCTAGCTGAGCTGTCTTTGGGAAAGATGACTGACCTGGTGGTTTGGTATACACTGTAGATTCAGCTAAATTCAAAGCAGAATCTGCAGAGCAAACGATGCGGGTTTGCTGCAGATTTTTGGGTTGTCAACAAGATTTGTGGGCATGTCGTGGCCAAAGGTCAAAAGACACCTAGATTAGGGCAAGAGCATTGACCTAGCTGACCCACCAAGGTTAGGAAGACCATGCACGCTGGCGCTAATGCCAAAACGGCCTGTGTTGGTGCCAACATGGCCAATCATTGAAGTTGAGAATTTCAGACATGAGTCAGCATAGCTGAAGAGATGGTCTACAAAGAGTATAATTAACATAATGCCAAAACTCTTGAAAGGTTGTAGTAGTGCCTATTTGTTGCCTACACATGGGGAACACGTGAGCACAAAACTAAGGGGAATTGAGGCCCCAGCGGGGATGGACAGGGGCGCTTTTGGCGGGGCTCGCATGTCCTGTTATATGACGATGACTAATTTTACCAATATCCACATCAATTCAGAATCTATCAAGGAATCCGAATTTGCTGGCGGATTGACTAATTGAGTTGATCCTGCAAAGTTATAGCAAGATTAGGGAAGCGACAGCACTTTTGGAACGGTGGTTGTAAGATAATTCCGTATGTGTCTATTCCTCCCGGCTGCTTATCTTCTCCTCAATTATGTTAGTTCCACTCTACTTTTAGTAAGACAGCTTCGTGCGCTCGTGAAACCTACGAGCTTCAAGTATTGCCACTCACCGCGGCCCATGCCAGTTGATGAGACGGTTGACATGTGCACATAAACCACGTATTGCTTACCAATTGTTTGGTGCTTGATGCTACACCGAGCGGAATGCATACTTGTTTTGAAAGCGCAGCTTCTTGGAGTGATCGCCCTAGGGAGCTAAGAACCGTGCGTCATCTGACGATAGGGTTTCGGTGGAGACACGCAACGTGACTTGTGTCTCGCGTTTTCGCGTTTGATTTGCGTGCATTCAATCAGCTTACTGGAGAATAAGGACATTGTCCTCAGCCCAAGGATGGATAAACACACAAACAACATAAATGCTTGAAGCACGTGCAAAAATGTTCACGCTGCTCTCCATTGCTCACCCCAAGGCATTCATCACACTGCACCGTGCAACATGCATCTCTTTTGGCAGGACTAGGGGCTCGCAATTTCAGTAATTACTGAAATTGCATACAATACACAAATTGTGCGCTACACAGTGGGCGTTGCCATCGCTGGTGTGTGTGGCCTCCAGGAGGTGGCAGCAGCGCTGGGTCGCGCACGCGCTCCGGGGCCCACTGCACCAGTGCACGGCGAGGAGAATGCACACAAAGGCAGACCCGCAGACGATGACGTGGAACTGCCAGCCTCCGCAAGGCCGCCGTCGTCGAACACACCCAATGACGTCATCAACGCCGAGTCATCTGCAGATGTCAGGTGCTGATTCTATGCTCTTGTGTGCGTGCGGCCCGTGATGATGGGGCACTTGTGTGGTTGGAACGTCCGCCACGGTGACAATGTACTGTCGTGTGAGTTGATGAGTCACTGGCTGTGAGCCCAATGTTTACTCAATCGGCAGCTGCGCCTCAGTCGCTCGCATAGCAACACAGTAAGATGTCGCGCCACCGAAGGCAGGAAGAGGGTCAACGGTGACGTTTTGTAGGACAGTCTCGTATGCCGTCACTGATTGCAGCTTTCAGAATCCTGACACATCGCCGCGGTTTCGCCTGTCCAGCGGTGTGGTGGGCACACAAGGTCCACGCGCTGCGGAAGAACTTGGAATTCAGAGAAACAAAGAGGCAAGCCGTAGCATTTTGTGCAGCGATGGTGCAGCATTGTTCATTGAAGCTGATGCAGCAAAGGGCACCCTTGGCCATGACCAGCTGTGTGGTTGGTGATGAGCATGGCCACCATCCAACTGCATGTCATGAGTTGTGTAGGCATGGGCAGCGTACCTTGTGCCTCACTATGCTATGGAGAATGCAGACAGTCGCGGCCACGCAGTGTCTGCTGTCAGCGACAGATGAGTAGGCTTATGTCAATGGACGGCAGTGTTAGTTACAAAAATTGACATTCATGACAGCCAGGATAGCGCGTATTGCATATCTACGGCACGCCACACAGAACGCCCTCCCTTTAGGATTATTTGTGATGCTATTCCCCGCCTGCTTCTCAACCGCCTCCATACCCCCATGCTCGACTTCTGAAGTGTGAGGTCAAGGTTCCACGTAATGAAATCAAGCTTGCGGTGCTGCGGGGCACAGGCCGCCGACGGTGGATGAAGGTCTGGACTCTCCAAGAACTCGCGGGGCGCAGAGAAAGAGAACACGATTATCCTCTGCTACGAAAGCCAGGGCAGCCACCGCCACGCCCGCAGGTAACCTATGGTTCAGATATTCCATGACTGTGCTGCTTCATCGTTGCAGTGGCCATCCTCTACTGCCATGTGTGGATCGCACAGGAACCTGCCATGCGTTTGATGCTGTGTTCGTCCTGCCCAGACTCATTGTACCCTCAGTCGAGGGACTTCACCATCATCCACCACACGTTGACATTGTGTACACCTCGCTAATTTGTTCTTGCGGGAGCTGCCATTGTATGACATGCTTTTCCTGTCAACAGTGGCCCTCGGCGTGGCCATGACACACTCTGACGAGTCAGGTACTGCGGGCATAGCACGAACGGTGGCATATACATTTTGTCGTGACACCATGTGTTAGAAATCTTGTCCTCTTGCCAAAAACAACCATTTTCAACTCATTACGACTCATGCCAATGTGTTTTGTGGTGCAGTGAACGCAGCGGAGCGCCCGGGGGCCTTCGTGTCAAGCGATGACGAGGAGGATGTGCGGAGAGCTCGTGCTCCACCCAGTAGGCGCGGCAGGAGGCGGCAAGCGTGAGGAGGAAAAGAGCGCCATCATCTGGGATATCTGCACGCCAGCGGCAAAGGCAATTCGAGGGACTATGTAACATACTTTGTTATTGTAGTATTAATTCTCTAGACTGGATACAGCTGGGGGCGCTCTGTTGGAGAACACTAATTCGGCGCAGAGGCCGTTCTCCCCTTTGTTGTTCATTCAGCACAGTTGTTTCCTTCTTCTGTCCCTCAATTCGGCTGAATCGCCCCAGGTGTCCACATGGCAGCGTCGGGCAGCATGTGCGTCTCCAGTGCGCCGTGAATAGATGACCTTGCCCCTTTGTTGCCACTTCATTGCCACATTCGCCTTGCGTGGACCAGTTTGTTCACAGCGCAGCAGGGATGGAGTCGCGCTGGAACAGGCACCACGCTGGCCAATCCGGTCAAGTCGGCATATCTTCCCAACAGCAAGAGAAGGCCATGCCATGGCAAAATGAGCGGCTCCGGGACCAGCCTCTGAAGCAGTGATTCGCATCCTTTGCACCCCAACCGCCTACGACTGCAGCGCCGGTGGACAGATGGAGCGCCGGTACAGGTCGAGGCTGATGGAAAGTCGCAGCCCTGCGGCATTTCTCGATTTTTCTTGCACCGCAAACGAAGACAGCGGCGTTCGCAATTTACAATCTGTAGATGCGCCCCTTGCCCTGGACCCAAGTCCCTACACTAAACCTTGGACACTATTTCTCTTTGGAGACCTAACGCCTGCTGAGCACCGCGACCTCGGAAGAATTTTTCATTTAGGGCGCCAGCCCTCAGCCACAACCTGCTCCAAAACATCCGCAGCGATGTTGCAGCATTGCACAGGATTGTTCAAGACCAGGCCTCGCAGTGCTAATCCCAGCCTCCAACGCACCTTGAACAAAACTAGGGGCGCGGAACCCATCACAGGCCGCCAACAGCGCTCCGTAGGATGGTGCCGTGCGCGACAGCCTGTCAAACTCTCTTGCTTCAACACCAGGAATCCCAGCTGCTCGTGTGACTGCGATACTGATGGCGTCTGGTGCTTCAGGCTCTGGAGTGCAGCAACCCAAGCCCTAAAACCCCATGAGCCAATGCAAAACTGTGGCCCAGATACGGAATGGATGAACACTGCCGAAACTGCCTGCTCGCCCCTCTCTCGTCTACCATGGTGTCTATCCTCTCAATGCCAAATGATGTCTGTGTGTGTCACATTGTGTGTGTGTGTGTGTGGCGGTGCGTGTCTGCACTACTTTTCACACTCCTTCCCTAAGGTCTAACCCTCTGCGTCTATGAGGGTGGATCCACTCACGTTGGAGACCTGCTTGTCTCCCCTGCTGCAAGACCCGTCCTCTCCGGCCCATCAACTCCCACAAACTCACTACCATGGATTGCTGCAAAGTCCTCAAGCCTGCTCCGCATCAAACCCAATTCCTCGTGCAGAATCTTGAATGCACCATCCCATTGCAGAGACAGCTGCATGCACGCAGTCCATTCATCCTGCAACTGTTGATACAGCCTATTCTGTTCCTCCTCCGCCACAGATGCAGCAAGGGCACCCATGAGCGTGGTGAAGTGCAGCCTGTTCCTTTCAATCAGCTGATTTAGCCGAATGTACACAGCATACCTCCTCTGAAACTCGGCTTGTGCCACAGTGAATTCCTCAACAGATGAAATTTCAGGAACAATCTCAATGTTCCTATCCACGAATTCAGAGAACCACTCCTTGCTCAAGTCGCCAGTCTCAAGAAAACCAGGGATCCCATTGTTCATTGAGAATCCGTTCGTTTGTCTGCGCTCAGAGTGGCTGTTGTCGGCGGCTGCCGGGACAGGATGGTCATTCATCATTTCGTCAGAGTCTCTTTCTCTGCTGCTATGAGTTGTTTCCACCATATCCACCACAGGGGCAACAGGTGCACGGTCCTTTCCTGCTGACGACTCTAATCTCGGCCTTTTCGTCGCCTTCTTTTGGCGCTCTGTTGGTGTGGCAGATGGGCTGTTCTCCATGGTCGCCCCCGGGCATTCTGGCTGGGGGTGTTTCCGCACGCCAGGCCTCGGTACTTTACTTCGATCAACTCTTGGTGCAGCACCCGTGGCGTGGTCCAACCTGTTGGGAGGTGAGCAGGACAGCATATTCATGGCTCTGGTACCCACATCCACTCTGGGGCTCTAGGTTTCTCGCAACAGCATTTGTTGCACAAGACAAAAAGCAACACCCTTGCGGCAAATGAGGCGAAGACTTTAAGGCACCCCAGTGCAATGTGATTAGCATGCACTGGCAACCGGAAGCCACCGCTTCGCTGCCAAACGCAAAGGGTGCAAAAGATAATGTACAGAAGGGTGCGTTGGACGTGAAAGGAAATGAAGTACAAATATTTTGATGATTTGGAAGGGGCCGCGTGACATACAATACACAACCCTCCTAAAGATGTGCAGAGACAGCCAAAGACCACAGATTGTGAAGATGCCCTGTAGCCGGTATGCACTCACCGCTTCATGTTTTTGTCGCGATCTGCCAGCGGTCGCTTCTGACCAACGCGTGCAGGTTCCTTTGCAGTGGCAGCTACAGCAGCAAAAACAAGCACTCAGTGCTCCAGCTCTTTGGTTGCAGCAGTACATTGGCGAGACTGAGTACATAGTTTGCCACAAACAAACAGCATCGAGGAGTCAAGGTCAGCACCAGGCACAAAAGGCCAGTGGCCAACAGGCCATGCACTGCACATGCCCTCTTTGGACAGAATCTGAGATAATTTAAGCCCTCTGAGGCCCTTCAAGGTCTCCCTTGCAATCAAAAGCACGCAAATGCAAACCACAAACATACCAGGTGCCTTTTCCGCCTTTTCTCCCTTGGGCTGCGCCTCCATAAAGGCCAAAACTTCCTTTGCCAACCCATCCTTCAAGACATACTTTCCTGCCAGGCTGAACGTGCTCAGGTGTGGCACCAGCCGCAGGATGTACTCTTTGGCTGGAATTTTGCGCTGCTTGGCTTGATGGTACGAATCCAAGACAGCTTGCTGGATGGCCTGCAAGCAGCAGGAAACAGGCATACATTCAGAACTGAGAGCAAAGTGGCAGATTTCCTTGGATAGAACACAGGCCCCAGTGCTGGTAATCCACTACAAGATGCCAGCATTGCACGCCTTCTCATCAATCTCTTAGTTTCCTTTGCTTGCTGCCTGCTCCTGGACATCCGGAAGCACGGGATCGCAGCTGCACACAATCAGCTGGCAACAAAAGATTCGTGAAATATTCGTGCTGCACAAACATTTGACAATTACCACGTCATGTGCAATAGAGCTTCACAACAAAACTCCAACAGCACAATATCACCCATGGCCAACACTGAGGGCCTTATTTCCAGTGCGAGGTGTTGCTAACCTTCATGGAATAAGGTTTCTCATTCAAGAGAGCGATGACAACAATGCGTGTGTTGTCAACCTTCGCTGCAGCTATGGCAGCTTCACACTTCACAGGGTCAGATTTGCCACTCTTTCGAGCCCTAAGGAGGCCCAGCGCATTGGTAGTCCTGCCACCGCCTGCACCAAAACCACAAGTACAGGTGTGAATAAATGTGACATTGCACATGTGCCACAGTGTTTGCTGTGGCATGCACAGTCTGCTGAGGCGGCACTTTCTGTTCAGGTGTGCCAAGATCACACCTCTGTATGTGCACAATCCATCAGTTCCACCTCCTATGTGGCTGGAAATCCTTTGCCAGCATCAGCAAAGCAATCAACAGAACAAAAGCGTGTACCGGAGGGCTGGCCACTGACCATAACACAGCAGCAAACGTTGGAATGAATCTATTGACTCGCACACAGGGAGTTCCGGTCACTGCCATTCAATAAAGTACACCGCTCACTGGCTGTGCGCCAACCATGGACAATGAAGCTATTTCAACCATATCATGGAGGTGCTCTTCCTGGCAACTCGAGGGCAAGAACATCTAAAACAGGAACAGCCTCACGAGTTCAAGCACACTCCCTGAGATGGCTTGTGCCCTCACCTCTGCCTCTGCCCCTTCCCGCAGAACCACCTGGTGGTGATCTGGTGGTTGCTGGAGCTGGCTGGTCCATGGGTGCAGCTGGTTGCAAGCCTGAACAGACACCAAGTGCAATCAAGGCGCGATCCACACTAATCACTCAAGTCACAGTTGCATGACCAAGGCCATGGAAACATCCCCAGCTTGATGTAAAATAGTCCCAACAAGATTGTGTTTCTCTCTCTTGCTGGAGTGCATGGCCAGCATGAAGGTCGTCGATCGCAGTGACTTTCTCGTCACCACTGCCCACCTTTTCCTTTTGGTTGTGCATCAGGCTTTGGAGGCTGCGCGGTGTCCGCGATCCTGGCTGGTGGGGGTCCCATCGGAGATCGTTTCGGAGACTCAGTTGGGGTGGAGGGTTGTGGGCCAATCGTGCCAGGACCTGGACACACAGCAGCAGGGTTGAATTGAATATGTCAAGCAGCAGGGTTGAATTGAATATGTGTTGAATATGTGTGTTGTATATGTTGGGTATATATTGAATATGTTAACATATTGAATTGAATAAGCTGGAAGCCTATTCCTACATCTATGTTCATGGGGCTTAAGCCCAACCCAAACCTCAAAGCAAAAGAGGAATACCAAACTACTGCCACTTGTTCGTCTGCAAACTGGGCTCAGGCTAGGCTCCGACTAGAACGCTGCAAATGTACACAATGCACACGTTGAAAAGAAAGAATTCAATCATTACCCAGACATCAACCTCACAGTGAAAGATCAACCAATGGGATGTATCAGCAAGGCTGAAATCGTGATCACAGCCATCGACACTTGTGAAACTGCAGTAGTTTGAGACAAGGGCGTCGGGGCAAACTGGCACCTGCCTACACAACCAACTGACTGCTCACAGAGTTGCAAGGATTCACTTGATGGCCAGTAGGTTCGGCTCAACTCGATCAGATGGCCCTTGATTGCAAGGTCTACTGCTATGTGTACTGCCGTGCATTGTGTGCTGCCCTCTTGCACCAGAGACTTGCGCATCAACTTTCATGACAGGAAAGAGTCTCACAAGGCCATGATACTGAAGCAGCTATTTGGCTCAAGTCCTTTGAAAAGCTTGAATTTCAACAATGATGAAAACACTCTGCTCAGGAGCAGGACGTCCATTCTTGCCAAGATCTCCCTTTTGGTGCAAAGAACTTTCGACTCATTCAGATGCCAAAGCAGCACACTGGTCTTGCCACATTTCTGAAAGCAAAGAAAGGTGTGAACCAGGCAGAACCCTGGATCATCCAGGGCCTACCTGGGAATCCAGGACCAATTATTGTCCTCCCTGGCACCTTGACAATCCGCTGATTGCGTGCAACTGCAGACAATTTTCAGCAGAATCAACGTCAGCTTGCCAAGCTGCGGTACAAGAATCAGGTGGTGGCAAGAATTGAAAAGGATGCTACAAGCTCCGCCTTATGGCAATGCAAGCAATGGCCCCACACAGTGTCCAAAGCATAGTTGTCAAACAACATGAAAGCTGACACGTGGCGCAATCCTTGAATTGTGGCAGCCTGCTTCTCTCCACAGGGCACGCCAGGAATCAGGCCGAGCACTATCTCCTGCCCCCCTGCAGGCACATGGTGCTGGCAGTGTACAGGTCAAAGGGGCTGGCCGCAATGGCCTACGCCCGGTGGAAAGTGGAGCACTGTTCGAGGATCCACTGCCTGGAGGCCACGGGGTGGGGGGGGTGGATGGGGGTGGAGCCCGTCTCTTTCCATCTTTCGAGAACTGCGCCACCACCGGCCATGTCTTTGATACCACCAGTCCAACACGACAAACTACAGCCTTGGCACTTTTCAGGAAGAATGCCGAAAAACAAATCGTCCCAAGGCCGCAGCCGCACAGCGACGCGCAGCGCGGCCGCCCGAGGCGCCCACTCACCCTCCGAGCTTATTTTCTCCAGGCGCACGACAGACGTGCCGTTCTTCTCCTTGGACTTGGACAGGATGCGGTCGATTTCCTTCGCGTCCAGCTTGCGCTACGGTCCCGAAACGCCCACACACACCCAGGTCAGGCAAGGCTCCACAAAGGCGAAGGCCAATCCAGCCGCCATCAACAAACACAAGGGCGGCGCACAGTTCGCGCGGACGACCCGGCAGCTGCCGGGCGCGGGCGGTTTGGAAGAATGGCGGAGGCGCAGTTGTTGACTCACCTGGACTTGGATTCTGTCCCTCACTTCGGCCACCCTCTGCGCCGCGCCGGCCTTTCCCAGCCTGGGCGGCGCCGTCACCAGCTCGCACGTCTTCTCCGGCACCCTGATGAACCCAAACTCCTTGGTCCCCACCCTGATGACGCCCTGCGCCCGGGCAGGCCACACTCAGCGGCGCCGACCAACATTTTCCCTCTTTCCACGCACAGCAAACGCGCGCACCGCTCCTGCGATCCCCATCTCAAGCAAGGCCTTCCGTGGAGCGCGCCCACTTCCCCCATGTCAGAATCCCCGGGAAGTCTTCCAGCGCATCGCCGAGCCGCACGTGGCAAAAACGCCCGGCGCCGCACTCGCCCTTCCCCAAACACACACCCCGCCTCGATTTCACTCTCGCCGACTGCGGCCCCTGCAGCGTTGCGAAGCGGAAAACGGCCAGTCTTGTGCTTGCCAGGACGTGGCTGCTCCTCTGTATGACAGTGGTTTCCTGGGATTGTAACACGTGTCTTGAAACCGCCTCGAGCTACCCCACCCCACACACACCCCACACCTACCACCACCACCCCAGCCCACGCACACACATACACATTTGTTTTCGATTTCATTCTTGCCGTCGGCGGCCCCACACCGCTGCAAAGCGGCAAAAGGCCCGTCTTTATTCCGCCAGGACGAGGGAGCTCCCTTGCGCGACTGCCACTTCCTGGGTCTGCAACGCATCTCGACACGCACACTCACATTCTGCGACCCATTGCCGCCCAGCCGCATGCTCAGCCGATCCCCGCCGTCGGCTGACGCCCGCAGGGCGTCGCGCAGCGCCGGGGTGAGGCGTATGTGCACGGCGTGCTGCGGCCGGTCGCCGCGCTGCAGGTCGAAGGCGCGCATAATGGCCGGCTGGTGGCCCCGGCGGCCCGGGCCAGGCCGGCCGCTCGCGGGTGGCCAGCGGGTGCGGCCACCGCCGCGGCCGCTCGGCGCCTCGGCGGAATGGGATGCCAGCAGGGTCCCCCCCTTCCCTAGGGAATCTCGAACGGTACTGCGGACGATCCCCGCGCATGGCGAACCGTACTTGGGGGAAAGGCAGGGCGGACTCTTTTTGGCGTGTAGGATTTTTTCCTGGTGGAGGTTTTTTGCTGGTGATTATTTGCTCGACGGATCTTTGTGGAGGATTCCTTTTAGAAACTTTTCCGGAGGATTTTTTGAGGATTTTTTGGGGAGGAATAAAAGGGAGGTTTGGGGAGCATGCCCGGTGTTCAGAGGGGGGAAAGGCAGTTACGACTGGTGAAAGGATTCGTCCTCGAGCGAGATGGTGGCATCAGAGAGTGTGGAAATAGGTAGGGCGTAACGGTCGCGAGCAAACACACCCCTTCAGCATGATCCCAACACTACACTAAAAGAAGTTATACGTTTTGCATAAGTTGCGTGGCAACATAAATTCTACAATTCGACGCTCAAATGTTTCACACTAGTGTTGTGACCGGGTGACTAGACTTCATAGGCCGATCAGAATTTGACACAGCTGCCAAGCACTGCTGACAAGTGAGGGAGCACACTGAACCCTGTGTTGTAAAGAATTAGTGGGGTATGCCGACAGGTCCTGAGCCAGGTCGTCTGTTCGCAATGCTTGCCCATTTGTGGGAATCCCATGCCCCAGAGAGGCCACCGGACACAGTGAGGTGACGTGTGGCTTTCCATGGGGACAGATATGGCAGGACGTTTTCGGTCACACGGGGACCACCAACAATGTGGGGAAAGCACTGGTTAAGAACAACAACATACAGGGCGCCCAGGTGAACGGCAGCGCTCGTTTCAAATGAGGCTGATACAATGACAGAATGTGCATTTTTCCATGTGGCGGCTTGTTCCGATCGACGATGGGAATGGTGGCTCCCCTCGACTTAAAGGAGGGCTGAACTGTGTTTTGATAGTGTTGTTGCCGTCACACTCTCATCGCTGTTGCTACCAACTTCGATTTTATCAAGGCCAATATCATCTATTGGCGGCAGTCTGCTTTGCAGGCCGAAACAATGCCACCCCACCTTGAAGATGATGACACGCACTTAACAGCTAAGACGCTCATTTGTTCCATTGCGGGAGGGCATTGCCCACCGCTTTAGAGCACTTGTCGGTTTGGCAGCCGTCTCCCCGGCCATCGAGGAGGTGAGCAAAGGCTTTTGGTGTGGAGGAAGTGTTGCTCTCAGGTGAGTCTTGAGCGCACAAGATCGCCGCCTGATGATAACGTAGATGTCAGCCCACAGCGAGATTCCATCGACGGAGACATCAGAATATGCGTCGACAGGTGCAGATTTCCTGGAGACATTGGAGCAGATGAATGGTACACAGGCGGAGATTCTGCACTGCAGATTAGAGACCATTCTGGGGCCCATAAAGACATTAGGAGACCAGCACATGGAAAGCAGCCGGTCACAGGGACCTGCTGCTTATTTTGCAAAGTAACACAAAACATGCTGTCTCTGTGATCCAGCAGAAATTATAGAAATTGGGTTCGATAGCAAGTCGATAAAAAGGTGCAATTCACCCAAAACACGAGGAATCGGCACCAGCAGCTCAATTTCTCCAACCAAGCGATTCGACAGCCTCGTGGAGAGTGGCTCAGCATCATATTCTGCATGCGAGTCGCAGGCCTCCGTTGCCATTCCCTTCTCCCATGGTGCCAACGGGGGCCGCCCTCCTGGGCCAAGCCTCCAGACAACAACAAAGAATGTCACAAAAGGCAGGAAATCAATGGCGCTCGTTCCAGCACACTGCCGCAGAGCAAGCACGTCAAGAAGAGAATGCTTGTGCAGTCAGAAGCTGTGAGCTGGCCATCCTATCGTGGTAGATCTTCACAAGGCGGTGAGAATTTCCACACCGTCCTGTGTCACAAGCAGGGTGTGCTCATATTGCGCTGACAGGTTGCCCTTCGTGTCCACCACCGTCCAATCGTCCTTCCAAGTTTTGTAGCTTGGTTGCCCTGATCGACAACACGACGATGTTGGGATGCACACAATCCAGTTTGACTGCATTTGTCCGTTCAGGGTGACACAGCGCCCTTGCACTTCACCAGGGAATAGTGGGCAACATTGGACACTGAGTTGCATAGTGGTGCAACACGATCAACCTGATGAACTTGCCTGTCAGGCTCTTGGACAGCAATATCACTGGGCAAAGTTGCTTGGTGGAAGAAATTGAACAGACCACTGTTTGGTGGTGTTTGACATCTCAATGACACAACACATCATGAAAACAAATGGAAGGCTGACCAACCAGAAAAGCATTCTTACTCATGTTCTGGGCAAGATGAGGCGGAAGAATGGCAACATGGCCACACACCTGCACATAGAATGGGTTCTATCGTGAACGTCTGGCCAGCCCTCATCTTCCCAGGTTCTTGATTCCTGTGGTGAAGGACGTATGGTCCTGCATGGAATACCCGGCCCACACCATGACCCACAAAAGTCTTGTCAACTAGGAACCCATTTTTCCGTGCGATGTCAGAAATCACAAGCCCAATGTTCTTGAAGGGCACGCCTGGTCCACAGATGCTGATTGCTTCATCCCTGGCTTGCTCTGTCACTTCGCATAGACGTTTTGCCTCGCTGCTCACGTCACCTGGCACCCAATGACATCATGTTCATCAACAGAAACTTATCTGTTTGTCAAGCTGTCTCGCGATGGACTCAGCAAAGGAAACGATTGCACTTCAGAAAATTGAATGTGCTGTGCTCATAAACTGCATGTCAGCTGAAGGCAAGGCCTTGTTTCAAAGGGATTCCGACTAGCAACTGGGACTCTTGCATGGATAGCAACAGCCTGAATTCTGGATATCTGCCATTTTGACTTTTGCAAAACTGTGCTCTCCCGATACAAGGTACAAAACAAGTCAGTCAAACTGGGAAAGAACAAGCAGACCTTGTGATTCTGCATCGCTAGATGCCAGTTGACAGTTTCATGCCTTAAAATGTTTTTCTGTCCGACTTTGTTTCACAGGTGCTCAATGCCTTGTCCTGAGACCAACAAGGAAGTCATGATGAAAGGGAAGTCATTTGCCTTCCAGCAAATTGCTGATATTGCTTCTCCAGCACACGTACGCTGCCTTACCTACATACCACATTTTAGATGTGTCACCATGATACCCATTCAGGTACACTGTGACGTCTATGTTCAAGATGTCCCCATCTTCAAGCTCTCGGGAGTCAGGTATTCCGTGGCAAATGCACTCATTCACGGATGTGCACACACTTTTGGGGAATCCCTTGTAGTTGAGAGGTGAGGGGTATGCCCCATGGTCAATCACGAACTCGTGCACAGCCTTGTCGATGGTGTCTGTCTTGACGCCTGGCTTCACAAGGCTCCCGGCATACTCCAAAGTTTCTGCAGCCAGCCTGCCAGCCTCCCTCATTTTCTGAATGCCCTGAGCGCCACAACCCTCTCCTCAGCCGCTGCTCATTTCAAAATCATGTCATTCCACTTGGATTTCACAAGGATTTCACCAGTTCAGTTGGTGTCATTCTGTGACCTGTACCTGTTGTTCCATTGATGCACAGTTGAGTCAAAATGCGATGTGCAGCTTTGCTTTGTTTTGCTCCAAGTGGGCTGCCAAGAAACATCAGTGCAATCAAATAGCCAGCTCATCTAAATTTCATTCCATTCTTCATTGCTTGATTGGGCAACATCGTGGCTGCGGTGACCACCATGCCCTTGGCTAATGGCGACTGCAACAGTGCCCCGTCCGCACGAAGTAGGCAAGGTTCCATGGGTATTCTATGCAGCCTGCTGGCCTTGTGGCATTGCACGGCAGGTGAGAAACTCGTCCATCCAACACAAATGGGCAGATGGCCGCACCAACGCACGGCATCAAGAAAAAGCATTGATACAATGATTCAGCAAGGTGACTACCCCAAAAAAGTCACATTGCTTAGTTGCTGTCTACCGTACATTGAAGGGACTTCCTTCACCTGCACCCTGTGGATAAGGAAAGTCCAGGGGCCAAGGAGCAAATAGTTCACTGGTCTGTTCCAGGATGGTCCCACAACAACAACTGGCTTGCAACATTGCCTAAATACTGCATAACTGTCCGCATTTCACCACTGCCACTGGGCTGCAGTGATTGGCCAACTCTGCAGATGCCTCGCAAAAGGGCACGTCAAGGAATGGTTCACTGTCAAAGCTTGCTTCATCTGCTGCTGCCTCACCTCCTCATCATGGATCTCGGGCCTCTCCTCAAACTCTCTAACTTTCCCAGTGTCGGCGTACGGCGGTCGCGGGATGTGCGGGGGCACTGTCAGGCGTTGGGACACAATGCCAGGCTTCAATACCCTGCTGGGGGCCACGGCAGACTCCCTGGCCCATCCACACCGACGCCACTGTCAATCAGCAATTCCCGCCTGGGCGCGAAAGAGAGACTGGGAGGAAATGGTGACAAACAAATTGTGGCAAAATTGTGAGGAATTGCGAGAAATGTGAGAAAATGTGCCAGGCATCCAGCCGCCGATAGGGCGCAGGAGGCGTCGCCGCGCGTCGGCAAGCGCGATCCCACAACTTCATCCAAAGCGGACTCCCTTCCGCGACTTCCCTGGCACGCCAGCGGCCGCGCCGGCGTCCCCCAATGGGTCCACGGGCGCTGCCCTTCCAGCCCCGATTCCTCCCATTCAATCTGACAGGAACTCAAACTCGAACCAGACAGACAGCGCGCCAGGCCTGCTCACTCCTGCTTCAGCTTCAGCAGCTCCGAAAATCCACGCCCGGCCAGCACCGGCCCCGCGCCCCTCCTGTCCGGCCGCCTGGCCAGCGGCGACGCTCGCAACAACACCGCCCTGCCGCTGCCGACCGCCGCTGCCGCCGGCCGCTCGGCCAGCATCGGCCGCGAGGCTGCCAGCACGCTCCTCATTCCCCCGCACAGCCTCGCGCGCATCTCCACGAGGCTCAAAACACGCGCCGCGGCGGAAACATGCGCTCGACAACAGCCCAGCCAGCCACCACTGCCGAAGATATCACCGCGACTAACACCAACTGCCGGGCACGTTCAGCCAATGGCCACTCGGGTCCCGTCCAGTACTTAACGCAGTATTGGGATCACACAGGACGTCGCCGTTTCATGGGGCTCGTACTTTGGGTAGTACTGGTAATGGGGTCGGCCAGGCGGCAGTTGCCGAGGCTAGTACATTGCGCAGTACTGGGCTAGGGCGGGCTGTCGCTGGAGCTTTTACTTTACGCAGTACTGGAAACAGCTGTGGCAGGGACTAGTACTTTGCGCAGTGCTGTCGCCTGGTGGAAGCAGGGGGACCGCAGCCTGGGTGGGGCTCGGACGTCCGACGCGACAAAGGCAGTGTGCGCTGTCGTTTGATCGCCGTCGTCGCCGCCCTGACCGCTATGCAGACGTCCCTGCAGCCGGGAGGCGGGGCAGCGGCCCAGGCCAAGTCACCAGCGCCCTGGGGCCACGCCCTGAGGCGGGCATCACGGCGATCGACGCGATGGGGCGCCCTGCGGCTGGCCGCCAAGAACGAGAAGCTGATGTGGGAGGCGCTGAGGGAGGCGGTGGACGAGGAGATGGAGCGGGATCCTAACGTGCTCGTGATCGGTGCGTTGTTAGGCGTGTCGGCGGCGGGCCATCATCTGCTGGAGTCTCAAGCGGTTGGGGGCAAGGAATCTTGTGGCTTGCGCAAATTGCAAACTGCGAGGTCTCACCAATGTCATGGCAGCTTACACTTGAATGGTCTGTCATGGTGTTCCCTTGCGCGCTGTTGGACGGTGCGCAGGATGGCACGGGGCTGTGTCGGTGGCGGGACATCATTTGCTGGAGTCTCCAGCGGCTGGGGCCGAGGAATCCTGTAAAATGCGCAAGTTCCACACCGCTGAGGGAGTCTCAAGCAGTTGGGGGCGAAGAATCTTGTGACATGCGCAAACTGCAGACTGCAAGGTTTTGCCAATGTCGTGGGCAGTTGCAGCCGAATGGTCTGTCGGGGTGTCACCTTGCGGATGCAGCCTTGGCGGGGATCAGCCCCACGGCGCATTCGCTCGACGTGGGCGCTCGAAGCTGGCTTGGTTTTCGGTTCCCTTCAGCCTTTTCTATTCTAGCCTTTATGTAAATTGAAGCATCTGCAAACAGCTGCGGCCCCGCCTCTGTGAAATTCTGCCAAAGCTGTGCCATTTCGGGGGATCGGGATTGTTATCGCTCTTGGATCTTTTGCATGGGTGATGGGATGTTTGAGTGCAAGGCAACGGTGTTTGTCAGTGTGGAGGAGAAGCTGGGCGTGGATGGGCAGCGCTGAACGACTACCAGATCGCCAGCTGTTTGAACCGCACGGGGCATGTTGCTCGGCAGGATTTCAGTGTTCTGTTGCGCAATGTCCTTGGCTGATCGACGTGCGGGTTGTTGCAGGAGAGGATGTTGGGCACTACGGTGGGAGCTACAAGGTGACCTATGACTTGTACAAGAAATACGGAGAATGGAGGCTGCTGGATACACCAATCTGCGGTGAGCGGAGCATCAATGGCCTTGAGTGCTTTCACCTTCATTGGGGGACTGGACACTTTCCAATCGGTACAACTGAATGCATTGCTGCATCTACAATCGCCATCAGGAGTGGCAGCAATGGCAGTGATGTCTGGGATTTCAGCCCATCAGGAATTCTCAGAGACCACATTATTGGGCATGCATGTGGAATATTTAAAAGCATGGATCGTTTCGGGGACTTGCCCATACCCCAGCATGTCTCAAGTGTGGACCGGACATCAGCTAATTTGGTGAATCAACAGTCCGAACTTTGCGTTCAAAGACACATCCCCTGCATCTCCCTTCCATCAGTTTTAGCAGTGTGGCGATTTCTATTTCGACAGGCCCAGGGTTCGAATTGTGCACTGCAAGGAAATTGGAATGGAAAACCAAAAGCTTGTCACCTGCAAATTCACCACAACTCACCACATCCTGCTGTGCACAGAAAACAGCTTCATGGGAATGGGTGTTGGGGCAGCCATGGTTGGGCTGAGGCCCATCGTGGAGGGCATGAACATGGGGTTCCTCCTCCTAGCATTCAACCAGATCTCCAACAACTGTGGAATGTTGCATTACACTTCCGGTGGCCAGTTCAAAGTCCCCATGGTCGTTCGTGGACCTGGCGGTGTTGGACGGCAATTGGGAGCAGAGCACTCGCAGCGCCTGGAGTCATATTTCCAGGGCATCCCTGGTGTTCAGTTAGTGGCGTGCTCCACTGTGGCCAACTCCAAATCGCTGCTGAAATCGGTGAGCATGGTGAATTGCCTGTCCTGTTTTCTGTGTGCCAGTCTCATAAGTCTGAGTTGGAAGGTTATGAACAGAACCTGAGCAGGGGGGATGTGTTCATGGGCGGGTGTCTTCCATTAGTTGACAGCATGCTGGTGGTTGAAATGATTGTCGTTGCTAAATACGACAGGGCATTGTGTTTGTGTGTCAATGTAAATGACCTTGATGCATGCGTCGTGCAATATTATATCCTGACATTAGTTGCCTTGACTTCTGGTTCCCTTCAAACTTTCTATCCTAGCTTGTATTTCAAGTATCGGAGCTGGAATCTGAGCCGTGCATCTGGTCTCTGAAAGAAACTCTCGGTGAAAAAGCAACCAGGGAAGGGAATGGTGTGTGTCAAAAAACAAAATCAAGCAAACATGAGCTTCATCACAGGCACACCTTTGAGAGATCCCCTGAGTTCCCGTGCACTCAAATTGCCTGCTGCTGTGTGAGAAGGCGATCCGAAGCGACAACCCAGTTGTCTTCTTCGAGCATGTGCTGCTGTACAACCTAAAGGGCGAGACTGTTGATGGTGACTATTGCCAACCCCTTGAGAAAGCCGAGATCGTCAGGGAAGGCACTGACTGCACCATCTTGACGTACAGCCGTATGAGGTACACTGTCTTGACGGCTGTCCAGGAACTTGAGAAAAAGGGAGTCCATCCAGAGGTGAGCTGCTGTTGTCATGAGCCGCCACTGGCAATTTGGTGCATGGTTCCTGAAACTTTCTACATGTCAAGGATTGTATGGGCAACTGGGACAATTGAGTGCGAATGCACACTGAGTTTGTCTTATGAACTCATCAATATGTCAAAGTAAGCAAATGAAATCGAAAGCAGTCGCCGCATGTGGCTTGCCTGAACCTGGAGCGAATCACAATTGCACACAAAGAAATTGTAGTGCGAGTGCCTTCAAACTCCAGTGCTCACACTCCCAGAACCATTGCGCCTCATGTGCAGAAGAGCATAAAGGTTTATCACGTGTTCGTCTTGTGTTGACTTTGCTGAATGGCACCGGAAACTACTCTTCCGGCAGCCACCTTGTGTTTAATTCCTTCCTGTCTGGCATGTTGGTGCCTTTCCAATCCATTCAGGCCCCATTGTTGGTGGTCGCCTTGTCAGGTGATCGATCTCATTAGCCTGAAGCCTTTTGATATGGAGGCCATTGCCAAGAGTGTGAAGAAGACGCGGAGAGTCATAATTGTGGAGGAGTGCATGAAAACGGGTGGCATTGGCGCCTCGCTCTCAGCTGTCATTTCTGAGAGCCTGTTTGACGACTTGGACCACGAAGTGATGCGTTTGAGCTCCCAGGACGTCCCTACTGCGTATGCATACGATCTCGAAGCAGCGACCATCGTCCAGCCAGAGCAAGTTGCGGAGGCTGTGGGGAAGATATGTGGACTGGTGCCAGCATGAGCACCTGTGCTGTGGCCTGAGCGCTTTGTGCCTGCCACCGTATCTCAGTGACTGCGTTGTGAAGGTACAAGAGCTGGGCCCGCACAAGAAGCCTCTTCCCTGTAATGATTGGCTGCACAAGAGATGTGCATTCAGATTCTTCCCCGCAGCCACTGTGGTGCCGCATAATTTGGGTGCTGATCTTGAGTCTTTCCTCAGTGGGCGTCGAGTCATCTATTTGTGAAATGCACTCCTTGTGACTTTGTGTACAATACTTTTGTCATTGATGAAGAAATTCAATGAGAAATGTCCGAATGTTGTTTGACTGCCGGGCTTCCCTTTGCAGCTACCAATTGCCAACAATTGACCTTTCAATCAGCAACCAATTCAGGGTATGGGCCACTTGAATACCGGCTCCCCACCATCGCAAACACCAGAATGGTGAGGCAAACATAAAAAGTTCCAGTCTTCCAACGCAGTGCATGCGGCCTCACTGTGTTGTTCCGTTGGCGCAGTGGTGTTCCACGGGTCAAAGGCCCGGCGCAGCGTACCAACATCTGCTCAAAGGGCCTTTCCAAGCCAAACGCGTTTCGCTGCAGTACAGTTGCGCCCACATGATCCATGGCGTTGGTTCTTGCATTTCTTCACACCTTTGCAACATTCTGGCAAAACTACATCTGTTTGTGTGTATGTCACACAAAACGGACCTGGTGCTGACACAGCTTGCACGTCACAACACAACAGCACATTCTTTTCTGCTGTCGTCACGCGTCGCGCCCCACGGGCCCACCCTCTCGGCGCATCCGCCCCAACCATACAAAAGCATGGCGTGACCGCAAAAGCACCACACCAGCAAACCAGGCACAAGCACGCACAAAACTACAGGCACCGCGCTCAGAACATTCGGCGCTCCAGGGCATCGACACACATCCAAAGCGCGTTTCTGCGTCACCCAAACAGGCCTCGCCCTCTGTTGCCAAACGACACGTCGTCGTCCGCGTCGTCCCGGATGATGAGGTGCTGGCGGATGTACTTGTTCAGCCGCTCCTCACTCCTCTCAGGGTCGATGTCGTAGATCGGCAGTTGGGTGGGCAGCTCGGCCATCTGAACGCCGGGGGCGTACGACACGAACCGCAGGTTCTCCATTATTTCCGCCCGAATTTTGTCAATGTCCTGTGCACAGCCGTCGACATCAGCCTTCGGGAATGATGGGACCAACGGCAACTTAACTCCGCCAAACAGGTCCACATTGCTTGGCGCGTGAGGCACGAAATTCAAGCAAGGAAGTGCAGGGCGACGGATTCCCTTGCTGGGCGGGAGCAGGCGCGCACCTCTTCCGTTTGGACGGGGGTGGCGCCTCGACACCTAAACGCGACTTGACACGTTTGGAATAAGAAAACGTCGTGAGGTCACATGTCGCATCTAGGCAGCACAAGTGTGCGAAACAGAACAGTATGCGCACATGTGCGTGCGGCCCCTCAACTCTTATCAGCCCACGCTCCGCTGACAACCGACTGCAAGGTAGAACATGTAGTGCTTTCCCATGTGTGAGCTTGCAACGCATTAGGAACCCGAAGTCAGGGCGAACGTGAAATCTGCGTGGCAAAGGACCACACAAGTGCCAAATGTTTCTTGATGCAAAATCTAAATCTCGTTTGACGCATGAAATCCGGGGCACAATGCAGGCGTTAAATTTGGAAGCTAAACCCCAAAGCAAACAAGAGCAGTGACAGCAAACGGTTAAAACACCCAACACAAGCGGCACATCTGGAAGGTCCTGCCACCATCAGAAGACATCCTCGGAGCTTCCAGGCAGTGACTTGCCAGCGCCGAAACCCTTTCAGTGCATTGTCCTGGTGCTGCAGCAGTTCAGCAACCATACACAATTGGCGCGCATCTTTCCAGCTCTCCATTCACAGCGCTTGCACATGGCAGCCCAATACCGCACAAGAACAAAAGGACCGTGCCATTGGCACGCCATCCCAGGTTCTGGACTCACCGCTTTGGCGTTGTGATTCGCCATGTCCTTGGACACCGCCATGTGCAGCTTATGGTCAGGCTTGTAGTACTCGTAAAACTTGTTGGCCGGGATTTCGTCATCCAGCTCCTCATCCACCAGGACGGCCGTCTCGTAGGTCCAGCATCGGGACACGTTGGCCTTCGTGTAGCCGCCGCCGCCCGTGACCAGCATCGGCACGCCGAAGTTCTTCATGAACTTCACGGCCTCGGCGTGGCCCTTAAGGGACAGGTTGAAGCAGCCCAGCCTGTCGTGAGCGAGCGAGTCGGCTCCTGCACGTCACAGCCTCGGAATTCAGTGCAGATGCGCTCTGGCTGCACAGCCCGCAGGGCAATGCATGGCTCAAGGGCGCATGTAGAACGTCCAAGGCGTTCACAAAGGCGAGTTTCTAAGCAAGTCTAAACTGTGTGCCAGAATCTAGCTGCATTCATGCACGGTTTCCCGAAGGTATTGTGCCAGCGCTGTGACGCTGTGTTTGCAAATACTTGTATACAATAAAACACTACGCACAATCTGAACCATCCTTGGAGCGTGCTGCAATTGCTAGAATAGTGCATCAGAGATATGCGAAGAGCTACAGTAGGTCACACGCCACTGTGACAGCCATGTTGGTTGGCCACTTCAACAGGGCACCACTGCCAGAGATGAAAGCAAAGATTGTCCCAATGATAGTGGTGGGCAATTCAAGTTCGATTCCAGGGCCACGTGACCAATAGAGGTTGGGGTCCATTAAGAAGAATCACAAATCACAGTCATATTCCAACAATCAATACCAGGGCACTAATTCAGCAGTGTGAAACAGATTGCATTACAGCGTTTGGGGCGTCTCCATCCTTTCACCAAATATTTCAAAGGCATGGTTTGATTGGCCCGGCGATTTCACTTTTGGGGACTACTTTGCGGTACACTTTTGACTTCTAGGCAGGGTTCCGGGCAGTGGTCCGTCTAGAGGGCCATGTTTCCTTCTCCACAGTGTCAGGGGTCCCCAGGGTTTCTGGGCCATCAGATTGCCTTGGGCCAGATCGTTCGCTGATTTTCCTTTTCAGTTTTCCTGAGATGATCGGCTGCACGAGCGCCCCAGCACCAGGGACGTTCTCCAAGAGTACTTGGACATGAGGCGACGCGTGACCTCGTTGTGGTACCACCCTGGGAAGGGCGAACCTTGCATAAGGTTTTGTTGCTTCATTTAGGAATGCATTCATATTCACATACATGGGACTGGCGGCTGCCACAACCTATCCCCGATACAAACAATGGGGCATGTGCAGGGGACAGCTTGCGCGTGGGTCGAAGGCATGTCAAACGCCCATGTGGCGCCATGCTGCATTGACTTACAATGCAATGAAGCAACAAACATGCATCACGGACATGTTGTTGCACAGGGACACACCACCAGCGTCAAAAACCACCTATGGTTGAGACCGTGGCATTTGCCCACGTAGTCACCAGCAAACTGATGCCATACTTGCAGCAAGAGCTTCGTCTTTCAATTCCATGTTTTCGTTCTCAGACTTTTCAGACTTTTCCATTCTGGAATACCGTATTTTGCTTTCATTTTAATTCCGCTTATTTCATGCAGAGCATCCTTTCAGTCAAATATGGTGCTGTTCGGGATCTTCAGCAGCACGACCAGCGACATTTCTGCCCAATGCAGAGCCTTGCCATTTGGTAACAAAGTGCATCGCGAGGTTATTACAAGAACTGCAAACACGTGCCGGTACACTTGTAAGTGTAATGCATAGCGCATATACATGTACATGTGCATATACATGTACATGTGCATATACATGTACATGTGCATATACATGTACATATATGAATACACACAGATATACATGCACACACTCCCCCGCATGGATACCGAACGCTGACGGAACACTGATGCCTTCCCCTATCTTATTGCTTGGGGCCCTACATCGGCTCCTGCTGGAAAAAGATCCCGCTGTGCTTTACGATTGCGGGGGAGCCCCTTGCCTAGATCAGCGTGTAATCCATGGCAATCAAAAAATACATGCACACACACACAAACTACATGGCGAGACTCCCATCATGTGGACAGGGCGACGGGCGACACCCACCGCATTGGAGGACGATGGCCCCCGGCTTGAAGACCTCCATCACGCGGCTCATGACTTGCTTGAACAGCTCGCAAAAGGTCACATCATCTGTGCCGTCGCGGAGGGGCACGTTGACACTGTAGAAGCGCCCGTTCTTCTCCCCCACGTCCTTGATGTCACCTGTTCCGGGAAAGAAGTTGTCACCATACTTGTGGAAGCTCACCGTCATTACCCTGAAGGCAGTTTCGAAGTGCACACATCAGGATGGGCAACAGGAACAAGTAGGCCGTCGAGAAACGCAGTGCTCGGCCCAAAACGGCTACTTGTACAATTTTCCAGCATGTGTTAATCCTGCCACATTGCTGAAAACCGCTGGCTGAAGGTGTGAAGCGCACCAAAATGGATACAATAGGGTAAACATAAACGTCTCCCGGGCAGGACTTTCACCAGCGCGGTTTGTATTCGCGAGCAGTACTAACAACGCCTTGTTGGTAATGGGGCAGTGTTCTTGCCATACTTCTGATGATTGCAGTCGAGGACAGGGTAGGTCCGCAGACTGCACAGCAACAGAACGCACATGTTCTGTCGTTCATCGAGATACGTATCCGGTCTATACTCACGAACATGCCAAAGTAAATGCATAGGACATACATTATATAATCATGTTTGCATGGACATACATTATATACTATATTTACTCGTCATAATTAATCAACCACTGGGAAACATTTCTCCTTCTGCACGATTCAATTCTGCGCCAATTTTGGACGTTCTATTCCAGAGACGCAGCAGTTGACAAAGCAGGGCCACCCTGGGCAATGACAACCGTGCTTTGTGCGCCACGCTGCACAATTGAATCTGAACAACTGCGGCAACATTGTGTGGGCCAATGAGCGCCACACTGTGCGGTATATAAATGGCAGAATTGTGTATAATGGGCAGATGTCTCCAAGGGATGCCCAACAATACTCCTGAAGTACAAGGCCCTTGACACATGGCACGTCATGCATCGCAATATGAAGGAGCAAGTTCTTCAAGTATAAGTTGAAGTTCAAATTCATGCGTCTCCCATCACTGAGGACATCTATTTCACAGTCCAACAACCCAGTCTAGGCTGAACTTCACAGCTCAATTCCCAATCGGCGCAGCACTTGCCGGTCCGTCAAGTAGAAGGCCTCTTCAACCCCATCACCGTGATGCACGTCAATGTCAACATACAGTACCCTGCTGTGACACTTCAAGAGTTCCAATATCGCCAACACCAGGTCGTTGATGTAGCAGAAACCTGCACCAAGTCGATGGCAATCATCCTGTCAGCCAAGGAAAGCGAGCAGGCGGAGGGACACTGCATGAAGATTTTCAGGAGGCAAGGAACAAACGCATTCCAGAGTGCTTCACTCGAAAAAAAAACGTAATGTCAATTGCAAGTTGCTTTTCTTCCTTTTGCTGCCGGTGACCCGCACTCAATGACTTCTCCGACAATGAGTGGGAAATGAAATAACTGTGGGTTTAAAAGCTTGCAGAGGTGTATGTTGCTGCAGATCACCTTTTAGGTGCAATGGCAATTTTTCGTTGCGACTGGCAGTTGAAATCGATGAAATATAAGAGTGCTGCAACGAAATTTCCCATACCCAATTGGCATCGACTTGAGATGTCCTAAAGTTAAGCAGGCAATCGTCATTGGCACGAACATTGAATACATAAGGAAGGCCATATGCCATACAAGAGGCAGTCCTTACTGAGGAAGACTGTTTGTGAATCCCCTTTGCCATGTGGTAATGAGGTGAAGCTCCAGTCTGCAAGTGCAGGAGGACTCGTCTGCACACCCATTCCGTTGGCACGCAGCAATGCTACAGCCCATAAAATCCACTGAACGGAATTGGACCCCACCCACTGTGCAATCGACATTTGCAGCAAGAACAGCATCGTAATTTTTTCAACACTTCAGCATTTTGAAATTTGAGCATTACGATTTGTGCTCTGCAAATTTTCAGTAGACTCTTAGTTTGGGGGCGCCGCATCATGGCCACAGCCCGAATGGCAACTCTGTTCAGTTTGCATAGCCTCAAATGCAAATGGTTTTCCATCACAGTGACTCATCCATCTGGGCCCTTAGATGCCACGAGCAGTCGAGAGAGCCTTGCTTTGCGGCTGTTGCTGCTCCACATTTCTTGGCACTGTTACACTATTATTATTGCTCTGCACAAAAAGGTCAAATGTTACATTACGATGCGGAGGGTATAATTCACTACTGCAGTGGTGCCACTTTGCAGCGACCTGACATGAGTGTGGTGGGATTGCTGTTCCTAACTTCTCTGTCAACAAGGCAATGGGCTGGTGACACATGCCAGACAGGGTCTGACATCGGCCAACAGGTGCGGGGGGCAGGAACTTGTTGCAATCTGATACACACTATCCATGCATTTTTTTTGTGCCACAGACTGCTCTTCAGGTCCTTGATGGACGTTTGCCTTGGGACGGGACCTCTGGCAACCCCACACAGCTGCCACATTGGTGGCCAACATCGTCTTCTGCCATGCTTTGATAAATGTAGTGCCAACTCATAAACTCGTACACATTTACCCATCAACCACCTCACGCGAAGCTTAGTGCTTTTCTTCACTTGTTGTGTGCACGTGACAACACAAAGAACTTGCACGCTGAGGGCGATGACATGTGCAGCAGCATCCAACAAGTCATCGCTCCCTTGCATCCAGACAATTTATTAATGCTGTAGTGTCATAGCTGAACTTGCCATCTCTTAGTAATGTATCTATGGAGTTCATTGAGGCTAAGTTGACTGCCAAAGAGACGGTGGTATCAGCAAAAGACTGCAGCACTGATCCGATGCCCTTCAGGCATGGATCCACACAAGCGATGCACAAGACTCACCTGATGCACAGGATTTTTTGGCATGATGCAATCCGCCAGACCAATTGATCGCAATGTCGTATGCCCCGCTGTTCAAGAATTGAGCTCCCTCTGCAGCAGACACTTGAACAAGTCAACCTTTCACCTGAGCACTTCCACCAACCGGCCAGGACATCAAACTGCCACACTCAGATAAAATCTTCTTCTGCAAGGTTCCCAGCAGTGGCAGCAGCTGGCCAACGGACAGCATTTGGGCACAAACATGGATACCACCCAAGAGTTCATTGTCTGCTTGGTGATGAGTGTGGGCCTTCTCTTTTGGTGCGAAGCCCAGGCTGTGTGCGTGCAAAGTCCTCATCGAATGCATATGCCCAAACATTACATACCCCCGCCCTTCATTCTTTCTAATAGGTTCTTGTGTTCCCAAACGCAGTGCAATCTCCCACAGCAGCCCACTTTCACAAACTCCAATGTATTAATCTATTCCTAAAGACAGATGCCTGTTCATAGACACAATGATTGGTTCACGACCCGCTGTTTTCTCTCCTGTTTCAAACAAAAGAACATATCTCCAACAGGTGAGTTCGTTGTCTTCAGACCATTGGCTGTGCAAACAAGTGCATGATGACCAACACGGGAGCTGTAAAACCAGAAGGAATGACTACCATTCATACAACAAGACACACGTCCACACAGCCACACTAAGCTGCAATGGCAGAGCAATGAATTCCTTTACTAGCCTGATGATGAAGCCAGGACAATCAGCTACACAATGTAGCCCATTCGCCCGTTTCAAATTGGGCCCAGTCTCCCAAAAACTATACAAAGGGGCCTTAGGAACCTTAGGAAGCGTTGTTACTGCACTTGAACCTGCAACATCTGCTCTCTGGTGCATTCAGCACAGCAGATGAGCTTCACACTGCATCATGCGGCTCCCACCACACTCAGAGAACTCTCAACCACCGCTACAGTGAGGGCAACAGCCTCACAATATGCTGATCATGAGAGCACGACCTGTTCTCTTTTTGTTGCTATTCTTTTCCTTTGGATTTACGAATGCAGACAACGCACTGACCGTAACGATGGACAAAGCACCCGCAAGGTGGTTCTTGGCATTATTCCATCAACAACGCTTGCTCAAGCATAAGGTTGTTAGCAACATACCTCAATTCATATTGTAGTGCACAGTAAAACATACAAGGAAATGCTACAAACATAGAATGTGGATTGTCAGTAATTGCTTTCCAAACAAGCTCACCATGTTACACAAATGCGATGTTCGGAGCAACAGCAGCACAGCGATTCCTTTTTCCCAATTGTGAAATTGGACAGGTGGTGCAACATTTTAGAACATGAAAAGCAGGTGTCAACAATCCACCAAACTCACCTATTGAGGCTCCCGTGTACGTATTGCAAAAGGTGGCAAGATCCTCAAATGCTGGGCAGTCACTATCCAGTCCATACTTTTGTGCCTCCAAAGCCATTTCCTGCCAGCAGCATTTTTAGTATAGATCAACTGATAAATTAGCCCATCAATGACTGGATTAATACACCAATCAGTCAAGCTGTTTTATACATGATGCTGCCTTATTGTTGTGTACCTCACAGGTACCAAAAGCACATAAAAACGGCAGCAGGGAAGCATTACCTCAACATTGTCTGGTGTCACCGTAGACATGAAGTCAATGTAGTCCTGTTTGCAAATCCATCATCATTATCAATTCAGGTGCACCTGTGTTATGGGAAAATTTGACTGGTAGTTCAGCACACGGCATATTAACACCGTAGTCCTTTTTGCTGCAACTGCAGGGCTGTTTTTATTTGTCGGCTTGCAGATTTAGGACCCACAAAATACAAATTGAAACAAATTGCAACTATCAAGGCTACGATTGCAGCAAATGCAAGACTACCACAATGCAGTACCTACAAAGATGGTCAACAAAACATTGAAAGCAAATACATTATTTGTATTTGCTAAATGTAACAAGTAGACTTGGTGTAATGTTAGTCGGATTAAGTGCATTCTTGCCAGCCCTGCAACTGCACTCGTTGTCTTCTCCAGGTGGGAGCAGCCTCCTTGTGGACTATACGGGCAGCCTGGCATGTGCACTTCTGAATGTTATCCGTTTCACTACATTGTCTCAAAGCTTGGAAAAGCACAATTCGAAGATGATTATGAGAACAACTGCATCCACAGTGTGCTCTTCCTCTTGGTGAGTGAATCCTTACCTCTGAATGGAACCTGCAGAGTTCTGTTGGTGTCGCTTCCCGTGGTTTCTGCAGGGCACATGTATAGAATCACTTGCACCGAATTTTCTAGTCACAATTGTCAATAATAGCAACAAGCAATCGCCCTATGCCCTCAAGGTGATTTTGGCAAATGTCCAACCACAGTGTGTCGCAAATGCGATCTCCACAGTATCAGTTTGCATCTGAACATCCAGAGTAACGGAAATATGAAAAGCTGACTTCCAATCCCAGCCCTCACGTCCAAAGGATTCACATGCACTAACACCGATTCCCATCAAATGTAGATCATAAGACAACACATATTCAAGGCCTGGCTACTTGTGGTGCTTTCCTTGACCATCAAGGGCGCAAGGGCAACAAAACATGGCTTTGCACCACCACTCAGAAATTGTGTGCTGGCACTCAATGCCAGCACCACGAATGCATTTACCCTCAATTCGGCAAAATTCATCCATGCAATTGCAGAGGGCAAAGGGACACTCTTGTCTGATTCTGAAGCGTTCAGTCAGACACTCACAAACACATCCATCTTCTTGTGCAGGCCATAAGCAACCACCAGATGTTGACACATCATCAGCCGTGGTGGTTTCATTGGGTGCTTTGGCGCATAGTACACCTTTCCAAGCACATCTGCGCAACAAACTCATTTTGAGTTTCTTCTTTCCATCAGCTCCTTGGCAGCTATAGGCAGCGCTTTCTACTCCGCTGAGTTCACTCCTTCCAAATTGCATCGCACTCCAATTCTCTGGCAAACACAAGCCCTCTACTGTGCTACCCCCGTACCACGGGCGCGTGATGGCATGAGAGGCCAAAACTCAACAGTGTGTCTTGAGTGGCACACCCTTGTTTGGTCGCTCAACGGGGGGTTTCAGCTTAAAGGAACGTGATTCCAATGGGCTCTTCGCAGACACCGCATTGGCACCAGTACATGTCCAGCAATTTCAGACGCCCATGCGATGATTCAAGCAACGCCAACAAAGGCGTCGGCTTTTCCTTGACCGTGCTGTTACCATCGTAGAAGTAAGCGACTCTGTTTCCTTTCGGCATTCTCGGCCCCTTTGATGGAAAGGTGTCGGGGCCTCGCGGAGGCTCAAAGCAGCGGGCCGGGCATCTGGAGCGAACTCTGTTTTCTCACGGCACCGCCAAGAGGCGTGCGAACAAGTGCGACCCCCCACCCCACCAATGCAACGCGTAACACCTGAGAGGGATGTTCGAAATACGTGACGCAGGGGGGACCATGTGGCTCATTTTCTGGAACCACCCTTTGAATTGCTCTTCTTTGTGGTGGGGAACGTATGAGGGTGTGAAGAGGGAGCCTCCCTGTCACAAATAGTCAACTGTCAGACACAATATTTTTGCATAATTTGTTGTGGTGCAGGCAGCGCAATCATACGTAAACAAAATGCACTTGCCCGACAGTGGGCCACTTGTGTTGAATGCAGCAGTCTCCACCAAAAAACAGCAACATTTGAAGCGAGTCAAATGGGTTACTTCGCTGAGCTTTTGCCTCCGCTTAAGGGGCGACGTTTGATTTGAAGTTAGTGCGGTGAGAGCTCCATAGGCGCTAAGGGGGGAGGGTTATAGGGCGTGGACGCTGAGGGACTATGTATTGCAGTAAACTAAGTCAGAAAGAGGACGATACTACTGGCTTGATGCGCGCAAAGTGTCCTGCACCAATACTTGCTTGATGCCCGCTGCTTGGCCGCATGTGTCACATATGTCGGATATGGCGATTTCTGCGGATTGCTACCGCTGACCGCAAGTCCACCCAACATTGTGGCGAGCCGGGCGCATGGCGTCCATGCGTCCGACGAGTGGGCCGGAGGACGGAGCATCAAGGGGCACGGACATTGACGGTCGGGGACAGATGCTCCACAGTGATCACCAACGGTCTTTGGTGATCGGCACATAGGAATTGATGGATAATCCATCGAGGAATCATTCCTCGATCCAGACTTTGTTCTTGGTATACATCAGATTTCAATGAACTGATCATGGACACTGCACTGCTCGGAAAAAATAGGAAGCAGACGGCCACATCCTCGCCTTGTTGTGTAAAGTTTATGATGATTGCACGGGCGAAATAGTTAGTCGAGTGGCTATGAAGAGTTGATGTGAGATACGGTGTGAGTTAATATGGCGATTGTACGGTGAATACGGTGAAATCGATATGGAGTCATGGGGAATACGAATTGGATCCGTTGAAAGGGGATGTTGACTGAAGGGGGCAATCATCCTGTAATCCATCCGGTTAGCTTTGGCTTCCTGCGCCCGGGAGCGACCGTGTGTGATTTGGTGTGAGAGATCTCGGTTTTCCTTCAATGATGATGAGAACTGTTGTTGGGGCATCATTCGCCCGACAAATCATTGTCGATCGTGCGAAAGTGGCAGTGGCAGTAGCGGGTGCTCTTTCGATAGTCTGTGTTTGGCTGGCAACTCCGTGTGTGGGCGTGATCGGGTGCGCTGTGGAGCGCGCAAGTGCAATGTGGGTGGGGAGCAATTTTTACACGGGGTGGGCAGGTAGGGCGCGTGGCAGTACCACGATTGCGATTGGGTGATGGAAACAGCACGCAAAGTAAATTTTCGAGTTGAGTACGCGAGGCGGCCCGTGAGAGCCCGCCCAACCGACGCCAGAACTTCCACAATCCTGTCGGTCACTACAATGTACTGAGCTTAGTTGCTGCCTGGGTACCAGCACAGGAATTGATGTTAAGGCAGGGGATAGGGGGGCTGGGTTAAATGTCCCTTGAGCGCCGATCACATTCGAATTAGAATAGTGCCCCAAGTAATGTTCACTTGCTGTACATCATTCTGAGCTTGGTTGCACCAAACAGCGACGCAAGCAAAATACCAAACATTGGTGACGGCAGGATTTGCCCATTATGCGCCGCACTTCACAATCCTAGTGTATGGCAGCGCAAAGAAGCTGGAAAAATACAGGCACAGGACGCCCTCAGGCGGCCTGCGTTCTGGGCCGCTGAACAGAATAACCGCCCATGAGCGCACCGTCCACAGTGGGGCCAAGATCGCCAGGTCTGGCCCAGCTGCCTTTCAGCAGGTCATGAGCGAGCCGACGGACTACCGGGCTAACACCCTGTGGTGTCACGTCTCACGGGGCAGCCATGCACCCACGATGGCCCATTTCAGCACATCGAACTTCAGGCGTCCACGCAAATCTGTTGCTGGCATGTGATTGGTACATGCAAGAAATAGTTCAAATCACGATGCCCGAGTACGTATCATGCCCAAGTGTTTGTTCGTTTCTTTTGCCATAGAAACTGTCGAGCCACTGTTGCCCACCCGGGTGCAACTGTATGCCCGTCATCCCCTGCAACTTGCAAGTGCTTTGTTTTGTCTAGTGCGGACAAACATCACCAATGGAATTCATCCTCCTGTACTTATGCCTGAGAGCAACAATACCTCAAAAAACGAGACCTGTACTAATTTTCCACACAACACGGACTTGCTACAGCCAGTTCCTCCAATACTGGGGGCCATTGCTGCGCCACCTCAGCTGTGGTGGACCTATCACTACATCCTCCGCCTCGTCCGCAGAAGCATCTCCAACTAAAAACCGCTTGGCACTTTCTCACATGGCAAGGCCGCCGTGTGGGGCTGGTCATGGGCACACTATCCTCAGGGGTCATCCTAATGAACGCAGCGTAGAACGCCATGCTAGATCGACTAAATATGTTGAAGACAGTCCAAATCAGCCTATTGCTCCGGTAGCATCAGGGAAGCCACAACACATGCGCTTGGCGGCTGCCTTTCATGGTGAACGACAACGCTGGTTTCCTGGAGAGGACATATGGTATTTGGTATTTGGTTTCCATCCACATTCATCAGGACACAATACTTCTGCATGAAGGAGATGCACTGCTGGAAAATGTGCAACAGTCGAAGCAACTTGTATCCTCAACTGTGACAGTCAAAAAGAATAAAAGGGCAGAAGAAGAATTAAAATATTTCACGAAAGTCCCCAACACGGGGTGAATGGGGCCTTGTTGGGGATTGATCTGAACCGAAAAGTGCCAAATCCTCTACACATCGTGGCGTTATGGAACTCGTCATTTTTCTGAGGGGCTTCTCTGCATATGAAGTGCTTGCTGCTCCAATATCTCCCATGTGCAAACAATATGCATTTCAATAAACGTTCAATGCTCTGCAACAAATACTGACCAAGTCACGAAACAGTAAGGTTGGTTGGCCCACAGCAGCTTTTGTGTTTCACAATGACACCCACGTGTCAATGAACTGTTCTTGCCATGGAAGGTAAGCTTGAGCTGCCATCCTCAATTCTATTGGCAGAGACAGAAATAGTAAGGATACATTCGAAAACACACGACATCCATGGCTTTGCAGTTTGTAGTAGTCTTCAGGCCAGAAAATGTCTGTCCATGCCATTGCATGCTTTCCAGATAAGCAAGCAGTTCTACCCAGCTTGTAGTGCCACCCCATGGGCATCACAACGTGTGCGATGGGACAAAGGCACGACTATGGGACACAGCAGGGGTTGAACTGGCTGCTTCTCTTGGGAGAAACACCAACAAAGAACAGTAATTCTTAATCCACAAAACATTCATCTCCCCAAAACTGGCACCAAGCTGCGTAGTAGCCCTCCAATGGTGTACAATTCTTGTGGACACGGGTGACACACGACACATCACCAACAGACATTGCAAAGGCCTGCACCCTCCACTGCAGTTCAACAATCTTATCAGATGCTGCAAACTATGTATGGCACTGCATGCTTCTGTCCATACATTGTAGAGCCTTGACAACTGATCGATTTGACAACAAGACATCCTTACCTACACAAAAACTTGCACCATCTCTGCATTTTGAAGCGTGGCAACTGAGCCAGTGAGCCTATCTATAAAACTGTAGTGGCTGAACACAATGATGACAGGCACAGTTTGGTGCCTTAGCCATAGTCGGAACTTGCTCACCCTGTCCTGCAAAACAAGTTGACTTTACATCAAAAATCGTAAAAGGTGTTGATGGAGTGACAGTGGCAGTCACATCGCTGCAGCCAGAATTGGCTGACATCAAAAAAAAAGGCCACTCTCCTTGTTGCAAAAAAATACAGTCTGGGGGGTTCTGCAGGTGTTCCAGTTACCCCCCACCTTCAAGCCATGAAACAGGGCGGCTGCAACAATACAGGCAATCCAAGTTGTCATACCCACCCCAAATGCTGGATCAGGCTCCTGCAGCTTTCGGACCCACCAGCAGCCACCCAATCCATCAAGAGATTTGCTCAGCTGTAGTTGCACAGACAAACAGCATCTTGCCTCAGAGCTTGCACGCGAAAACTTTCAGGCCTCCAATGCCTACATACTGCAGGACAGACACCTGAAGAAAGGATTGAGCCTGCTGCTTGCATTTCATTTTTTGCGGGCCATGGCAGACAACAGCCTTGTTAGGGTGCGTACGAAGTCCGCTTACTACTGCCCTTGCAGATGTCCAAAGCATCTTGACACTAGGTGCATCTGGTTTGCTTGTGTCTTGCACCTGTCACAACTACACGCACTAGTTGGTAGCATTGTCACACGTTTCCAGGGTGAAAACCTTAGAGCAGGGAGTTGGGATGGAAGGTATGCAGAGCAATGCTCTTTTCTATTCTCATATGCTTGTCATTCCCTCCCTTTTATCACATCTAATGCAGCAATTGGTGAGTGCAAATAAGAACATGAACATGCAAACCACCTTGTGCTAGGGACTGAAACACGTCTGACACCTGAAACCTAACACCGTGCTGTTGTTGCAACGCTGGACCTTGAGGCTAACAAGTGCAGAGCAGTAAGCCAGCAATATCACCACACAACATGGGAGCCTGCTACTCAGCATTGATTGGGTTTTGCGGAAGTGCTGGTTAAACCCAAGCCCTGGAATTTGGCATCTATGGCGATCGTATTTCGGACAATCTATGTACAAAACTCTGCAGAACATCGCCGTGCAGGTGCAAGGGCCACATCCTGTCACTTACGCACAAATGCACTCAAAGGATTTACACATCCCCAGCCCCAGCTGCAGCGCTTGCAGCCATG